TATTTCCGGAGATTCATTTTCGACCTGTATAAGCATTTTTATTTTTTTCTCCTTTATTCAATTATCAAATTCTTTCAAAAGTTATATTTAGCATTTTTCGTAACTTTTATTAGAGAGAGGTAGTTGATTATTTAAAATAAACCATATTAAAGGTACTTTAGAGGAAGACATGAACATAAGGCATTTAAGCCTTGTAAAGTGACATCAACGGGGATAAGACCTAAATGGTATTAATTTACTGTAGCTTAATAACTAGATCTGATATTATATTTCAATATTTAGTTATCTATCGTCCGTTTATTCCGAAAAATCATCATGTAACTTTTTAGAAAATTAAATTAGTGAATTATTGGATGAAATTTCCTTTTGTGATATTCCAACAGCATCCACTTACAATTTTTGTGACAACTTCTGACCTATCCATGACAGGCAAAAATAATCTCGTAATTTCGTTTTAGTAAACTTTTCAACGGAAAATAGCATATATATAACGAATAGTTCTACAATCCATAATCATTTATAGGTTAAATATTCAGATATACTTTCAAACCTCTGTAGGTATATATAAGCCTTTCGGTTGACAGAATGACTAACTTCAATTTTAACAATATTAGTTTTCAAAAATTATTATTTATAATTTTTTCGCCATTTACCGTTACCTTCTACAACTTTCTATATTAGATATTGTTTTTTTCTTAAATTCCCCGCTTTCCAACGATATATTATAAGTATACCTTCTGATTTGTATTTCCGGAGATTCATTTTCTACCTGTATAATAATAATAATAAAAGGCTTAGCGAACCCGAAGGTTCGATGGCGACACCACCAATCGCTTATTACGCACCTCCCTCCACCGTTCGCCGTCCAAACCCATCCCTTCAGATCGGCTTTAATGCAATCTTCCCACCTTCGCTTCGGTCTACCCCTCGGACGCTTACCATTCGGCACAGCAAATATTAACCTTTTAGGAATTCTCTCGTTACTAAGCCCAACAACTTTACAAGCCCATTTGATTCGCCGCGATGAAATTACCTCAATTATATTACCCGGATACAGTCTCACGCAATTCGGCGTTGTGTAACCGTCTGAACTCTCCGGTTAACTCATCCTTCTTCGGTCCGAATATTCTACGCAATACTTTATTTTCAAAAACCTTAAGACGCTGCTCATCCCTTAATGTAAGCGGCCAAGTTTCGCATCCATAAAGAACTGTAGGCAAGATAATTGTTTTATAGATTCTAATTTTTAAGTTCCGGGACAAGAGGCGCGAACTGAGTAGTTTTGTCACAGAAAAATAACAAGCATTTCCCGCCTTCAGTCTAACCTTAATCTCTTCTTCAATTTCGTTTTTTCTAGTTATCGTAGAACCTAGATACCTAAATTTATCTACCTGTTCAAACATATTACCATCTATATCGATATCACCAGTAGTATCGCCATTTTTGCAGCTAACCATATATTTTGTTTTATCCACGTTTATTCCGAGTCCTAGTTTTTTACCGGCTTTCATTAACGTTGTCGTATTTAGTTTTATAGTTTCAACGTCTTCGCTTAACAGTACAAGATCATCAGCATAGCCCAGCACGGATGTTGTCCCACCCAGATCCAACCCTTTCTCGGTACGCATTACCTCCTAATGGCATGTTCTAATGCCAAATTGAACAGTACAGGCGAAAGGGAATCCCCCTGTTTTAAACCCGAGCGAACCTCAAATTTTTCCGACAGATTATTACCGATTCTAACTTTATTGAGTGTCTCCGTCAAGCACATCCTGACTAGATTTACAACTTTTTTTGGAATCCCCTGCTCGATTAGAATATTATACAGTTTCTGGCAGTCAATAGAATCGTAAGCCTTTTTAAAATCTATATATAGCTGGTGAACAATACCATTGTACTCCAATTTTTTCTCTAATATTTGCCGTAAAGAATATATTTGATCAATAGTTGAACGATTCCGTCTAAATCCGCATTAGTAGTCTCCGATAATTTCCTCGGCGTATTCGACTAGTTAGGATTAAAGTGAATATTTTATAACATACCAGAAGGAGTGAAATTCCTCGATAGTTATTACAATCCGTCCTCGGCCCTTTTTGTGAATCGGAATAAGAATAGATTCTTTCCATTCTTCAGGTAATTTCTCATTCACCCAGATCTTTTTAACCAACCGATGTATTTTAGAAACTCCAGCTTCTCCGCATGCCTTAATTAGTTCAGTAGGAATATTATCGGTTCCCGCTGCTTTATAAGATTTTAATTTTCCGATAGCTACTTCAACTTCCTCTTTACTTGGTCCTACTATTAACGGTTCAGCACTCTGGTACTCAGAAGGAGGACATAGATCATAATTTCCCGTATTTAAAATATTGTCAAAGTGGTCCTTAAACTTATTCAATATGTCAACCGGATCGGTCAGAATATTGTTATTATCATCCCTAATTACAGACGTTACGAGCCTTACAAATTTTCATGATCTGTTTATACCTTTGTACATGTCTCTTACGTTATTTTAGATTCTATTAGTTTCTATTTCAATTATTTTATTTTTAAGATACTACCTTTTTTTATTTTTGAGCAATTTTGCCGTTTCGTTCTTTGAGGTTCGGAAGTATTCCAGATTGTCTTCGCTAGGATTATTTAGAGATTTTAATTTAGCGGCTTTTCTTTTTTCGCACATGTTTAAGCAATCTTCATCAAACCACGGTTTGTTATTCTTCTTTTCCTTTTTTCCTAGACACGAGTTACCGACCGCTTTAATATTATCCCTGATCTCTACCCATAACTTGTCAATATCCTCGTGGTCCTCGTCAGGAAGCTCTAAAACTTCAAACCTATTCTTAACATCTAGCTCAAATTGGGTTCTAATTGATGGATTTTTTAATTTTTCCAAATTAAAATTCTCAAAATCGAAACGGTTTTCTTTTCTCTTTTTTATATTAAGTTTTTGTCGAAGTTTCGCGATTACTAATTCATGATCCGACCCACATTCTGCTCCGCGATAAGACCGTACATTAATTATACTGCTTTGCCAGCTATGTTGTATCAAGACATGATCGATTTGATTTCGTGTTTGCGAATCCGGTGATGTCCAAGTATATTTATGAATAACCTTATGTTTAAACGCCGTACTTTTAATTATCAGGTTTTTCGAGATGGCAAAGTTTATCAGACGGATCCCATTATCATTACTATATTCGTGCAAACTTTCTTTACCAATCGTCGGAATATAAACTTCTTCCCTTCCTACTTTTGCGTTCGCGTCACTTAAAATTATTTTCATGTAGTTTCGCGGTAGTTTATCATAAACCCATTCGAGTTTATCGTAAAATTCACTTTTAACTTCATCGTCACTGTCTTCGGTCGGACAATGTATGTTTATTAATGCGATTTTAAACCAACGTCCCTTAAATATAGCTACCGAAATTCTATCACCAAAGAATTGTACGTCCCTCAAAGCGGACAGTAATCTACTCCTAATTAGAAACCCGGTACCTAAACAATGATTCCCGCTTCCTCCGTACCAAATAGTGTACTTTCCTTCCCTCATCGAGCCCTCCCCTGGCCAGCGAACCTCTTGCACAGCCACGACATCCAAATTGTACCCATTTACCTCATTCGCGACCGATTTTAGCCCCCCTGCTGTGTTTAAACTCCTTACGTTCCACGTACCAATATTTAAATCCCTATATTTCAACTTGCGCCATGAATCCCCTAAAGCAGTCCCCACCCGGAGACCCGAACGGGGTTTACCTCCGGATAATGAGCGTTTTACCTTACGGAGATCCATGACTATTTGTGGTGTTTGGTGAACTAAAGATATGTGAGTAGGGCGTTCAATCACACCCTCCAGCAAGTATGGTGGGCCCCTACCTCCAGCAAGTCTGGAGGACCCCTCCCTGCAGCAAGTCTGGGGGGCTCCTCTCATTGTTGGTCAGCGAGTCCATCGGACTTAGCCGGGAGGAACTTCCGAGGAATTTTCCATACGCGGTAATGAGCCCGCGCGAGGTTTCTACCTGTATAAGCATTTTTATTTTTTTCTCATTTATTCAATTATCAAATTCTTTCAAAAGTTATATTTAGCATTTTTTCGTAACTTGTAATAGTGAGAAGTAGTTGATTATTTAAAATAAACCATATTAAAGGTACTTTAGAGGAAGACGCATATGAACATTGGGCATTTAAGCCCTGTAAGCTACAGTGTAAAGTGACATCAACGGGGATAAGACTTAAATGATATTAAAGATCACTTAATTATACATGGATACATCAAGTTTAATCAAAATCGTTAAAGCCGTTTTTGAGAAAAATGTGATTCACCGTTGATATAAAGTGACTTCCGGTTAGCCGATTTTTTACGAAAAAGTTGCTGTAACATGCAAGATATATACAAACCTTAAATATGAAATTTCACTTTCGTACGACGTTTCGTTTTTCAGTTAGATTGTTCACACACATTCACACACACAGACCATTTTGCAAGACTTGGTTATTTGGACTCAGGAGAACTCAAAACATGTACTTCTGCTGAAAACTCAGATTCAAAACTTTTCATGATCGCAATACTTACACTTACCTATATATGTAATATATAGTACTGTATATTGCATATATAGGTAAGTGAAAGTAAAAAACAACACAAACAAATTGTAGAGATGATAGCACTTGAAAGAATATTGATTTAAATTCACAAACTTCCAAAACAAAATTTTTACATTTTACTATCATTATTAATTGTATTATTATTGATCCTAAAACCAGTATTTGTTTCCTTATATGTTCCTATCTAAATTATATGTTCATATGTATAGATAGTTTTTTATAAAAAATAAAATTCTATTAAGAAAATAGAATTGCGGTAGTTACGGTAGGTTGTACATTTTCTAGGAAAATATTTTTGCTGATTTATAAATTGAATCCGAATATTTCACTCGGAATAGATTTAATGAACAATTTGTAAGCATAGATACTATAATTTCAGTTTAAATTAGGTACTTAAAACCCTCAGTTTCGATTAGAATATTGACTGACAATTGGCTATGAAATCGTTTTCATTCGTTAAACTTCGTGCATTTCCGATCCGAGCTCAGTCAACATCATATCGGTCTTCTGGCTTGTTATCATTGTTTCAGTATCTCTCAAGCTGGCAACTGTCATCCTATTCAATATTGTAATTATAGATTATTATTATTAAATATAGAGTTCTTAACGGCTCTATTCCGTTGATTTAAGTTTGATTTTTTATAATATGATTTCCAAACTTAATTTGTGTGAACTGACAAGCTTTATTTTTCAGACTTGAAGACAGCCTTCTCTTAGTCAGAATGGCTGGAAGTATTTACCTTTATTATCTTGTTTGCTTGCTTTATATTTTTGAAACATTTCAATCGAGTTGGGCAATTGAAGTAAAATCACCAATTGTAAAAGAAGGTAAAGGCAGACCACCCCCATTGCCTCCTAGTAAATTAAAACATTATGAACCAGATTGGAACAGCCTCGATGCAAGAATTTTGCCTTCATGGTTTGATAAAGATAAAGTAGGGATTTTCATACATTGGGGAGTCTATGCAGTTCCCAGCATTAGCTCCGAATGGTTTTGGATAGATTGGAAGGGTAAAACTTTAAGCAATAGTATGAAATATGCAATATAAATGTAAAAGAAAATATATTTGTACAATCCATTTGTTTTAGGCAATCCATCACCAAATGTAAAAGCACAGCAGGAAATTATGCAATTTATGAAAAGGAATTATAAACCTGGTTTTACATATCAAGACTTTGCAGTTGAATTTTCAGCAGAATTTTTTAATGCTACCGAGTGGGCTGATCTCATAGAAAAATCTGGTGCTAAGTATGATTTATAGAATAGAAATTATTAATTTTTATCTACAGTTTTTATTAAATGTTTTATTTTCAGATATGTTGTTCTTACCAGTAAACATCATGATGGTTTTTCATTGTGGCCTTCAAAGTTTAGTTATAGCTGGAATTCAGTTGATGTTGGCCCTCATAAAGATATTGTAGGTAATGTTCAAGAAAGTTGAAAATCAATATATTTTTTATTCAGCTTTAGAATTATTACCAAGAAAAAAAACTTCTACAAATCATTTAGTCTTTAAAAAATACTGTAATACTTATAGAATTATTAATGAATCTTTGAGTAATTCACTTTTCAGCTTTTCTCTCTCTCTCTCTCTCTCTCTCTATATATATATATATATATATATATATATATAGGCATTTTATACTCAACTATCATCAACAAATTCTGACTTTTAGCTGCTCGCTCTAATATTTTTTTTTTTTTTCCACCCGTACCTCCCTTTTTCTGGGCGTTGGTTTAATGCCAGAGTTAAAAGCCTCTCTCCTCCAGGCATCCAGAACTCGTAATTATTTTATATTTTTATACCTATTAAATTTTGGTTTATCAATCATATGGTTTCAAGGCAACACATGTTGTACAAACGTGTTAGACCAGTCGGCCACCCCGCTCCCCTTTTAATCAGCCTTCCTTCTAATAATGAGATTGCTTAATTTATTTAGTCATAAACCAATGCCAGGATTTTTGCTTGAAGGTGCAAAAGTTATTTTATAATAATGTTTTAGGTCATGTATTTCAAAATGCACTTTGATATTAGCCAATAGGACGATAGAGCAGGTTCCTAGTATTTGATTGTGACAATCAGTGTGAGTGAGAAAATCAGAGACAAAATGAATATGAGAGTTGCCATTTCAGGAAGGATGTTCTTTGCCATCAATAGGAATATTTTAAATAAGAGAGAAGTGGCAAAAGAAACAAAACTAGCCGTCTATCGCTCGACGTTCATCCCTATCCTCACATATGGAAGCAAATCCTGGGCCCTAAAGCAACGTGATCGCAGCTGCCTCCAAAACATGGAAATGAGGTATCTGAGGAAAATACAGGGAAAGACCGAGAGGGACCGGATACATAACAGAACGATACGCACTACACTCAAAATTGAACTCCTCAACCAGATAATAGAGAAACGACAGCTTCGATGGTTCTGGTCAAGTAATGAGGATGGATGACTGCCATTCATCAAAGAAAGCTATGAACTAGCAGGAAAACGACCTAGAGGAAGACCAAGAATTACTTGGGAAGATAATCTCAAAAATATTCTTAAAGTTAAAGGTATTGGATCGCCATATGCTAGAAGAGCAGCCCTTAACAGAGACAGGTAGAACAAAAATGTGTGCAAAAATATCTACACTGAAAGGTATAAGAGATTATTGAAAAATACTTCAAAATAAATATCATAAACAGTAAATAACATTAAAATCATTTTATTAACCGAATGAAAGTCAAAATAACTAAAAAGCAGAAATAAATACTTTTATTTGGAGCAAGTGGTGCCCCCTTTGCATTTCGACAATTTTGGCCCTGAACCAATAGGCTTTAAAAGTTTACTTCTATTTCAGGAATATGTATTTCTTTGGAATGAAACTAATGAAGAAATATTTTCATTTGAAATTCGGTTAATGGCCAATGTATTATCTAATTTATACATAGGGATAACAAGTATAAAGTTTGTTCTCAGTTCAGATTGTATTAAGAAATCAGTTGTATTTTTTTCTCTGTAATAATTTATCTTCATTTTTGTGTTACTTGAATACTTAAATTTTGAATCATAAAAATCTGTCTATTTTTTAGTTTTATTATATCTCTGGTTATATTTCTTTGAACATCATAATAATATTTTACAAATGTCGGGGTTGTTCTTGATGATCCCATTTTCTGTTTTAAGCTTTGGTCCTTATCAAGTGTGTAAACAAATACTTTCTAGGTTTTAGCAGTGCAATTTTTTTATTATTGTATTTTTAATTTAATTTCTAACTTGTTTTTCCCCCTCTTATCTTTTTAAAAACAGTTAAAATTTATTTTCAGATGAAGTTTCAAAAGCAGTTCGTTCAAAGAAAGGCCTGAGGTTTGGGTTGTACCATTCACTGTATGAATGGTTCCATCCTTTGTACTTAGCTGACAAGGCAACAAACTTCACTACCCAAAAATTTGTTGATGATAAAATATTCCCAGAAATGAAGGAGTTGGTAAGTTTTATTGTAACTATTATAATTTTTCTTTAAATTCATATTAACAAAACGTTCATAGTAATAAATTATATACTTGTTAGACCACTAGGGATCTAGGATTTCATTTTGGGGGGAGGGGGGGCTCGAAAGCTTTTTTTTTTTTAATATAACGATAATTACTTTGGAAGGAAAAAAAAGAAACTAACTGCCTATATGAAATGATGTTTAAGTGATTATTGAAGTTCTGTTAAATATAATTACACGAACAATTAATACTTTTAGGAATATTTTTTAAATAGTATTTTCTTAGGACATGGTAATATTTTACCATTTTGAGGGCTTCAGCCCGAGAATCTCTCTCCCCCCCCCTCACCTCCTGTAGATCCGCCTGTCTGTTAGACATTAAGATTCAATATTAATTGAATAAAGGAACTTGCTTGATCCAATTAAAAAATAGATTTTTTTTTAATATGTTTCTTCATTGCATTCAATTCAAAATTAATTCGGAATTTGTTATTTACAAATACCTCAAGTGGCATTGATATCTTAACAATTCCCACAGATAACAAATTTATCACAGTATCTCAAATAATAATTATATAACCTTACTATTGATACAATTTTTTTATTTCCCTATCATTTATGTATAAATTGATAAAATAATATTTAGAATTTTTTATTATAAAATTTTATTAATAATTTAAGTTCTTGCCATCCATATAAATATTCAAAAGTATTATTTTAGAATTGAATCAGTAGGTACAAAAAAAGCATCCAAGCAAAACATGTTTTGTAAAAAATTTTAGCCAGCTGCCTTTTGTTTGGTTTTAAGATGAATGCCTCAAATAAACAAAATGCAGCAATAACCCGAGATTTCAACTTGAGAAAATTATGAAAAAAAATTATTTAGGTTGCCCTTTATGTAGATAATGACCATCAATAAATGGATAGAGGTATTTTTTTAAAATTAATAATAATTTGTTTGCTAAAATAAAAATATATTCATGGACTATAAATATATATATATATATATATATATATATATATATATATATATATATATATATATATATATATATATATATATATAGGAATTGAAAGTTTCTATAAACTAAAAAAGTCATCTATGATTTCATCCTAGCCTGAATAACATTTCTCAAGCACATTTCTTGAATCCATGTGCAAAGCTTTGCTCTTCACCAACACCTGTTCAATCCAGTGGTTACTTACTATGTATTGCAGCAGCAGTTGTCTTCACATTCCAATTTTGTTATTACATGTTTTTGAATAATAAACTTATTACCTATTCAAAGAAACTTAGGTTTATTCCAAAACAGAGAGAATGAGTACATTGTCAATTAATAGCAATTGTAATTGTCTCACTTCAACTGCAGCCGAAAGACATTGTTTATCAGCATATATTTTTTTATTTTTCTTTTTTTTTGCCATTGTTACTGTCACAAATAGAAAAGGCTGCCTTGTTATTGTAAAATATTGTTATCACAATGACTTTTTGAGATGTGATTTGAAATCTAGACATAACCCTAGATTCTCTACAAAAAACAGTATTTGCTCTTTTTCGCCAATCCAATTGTGGATGTAAATGAAAAGATAGTTGTGATTTATGTTCTTGTTACAAATAAGAAAAATATGGCCTCATATAAAATGCAAACATCTGTCACCAAATTCAAAATTTAATTATTAGTTGAGTCTTATGTCTTATAGCATGTTTCTCACTCTTTTGAATGGTGAAATCAGTTTATGTTTTTTTTTAAAAATCGTAAGTATGTTTAATTTAGCTTTAAATTTAACGGTTTGTTTAAAAATAGACATCCCTGAATTGTAAGTTTGTTGTATCAAAAGTGGACATTTACCAAACTGCCAATGGAATAGCCGGATTTTGATCACGGTAATTCAATCTTTTGTAGTTGTTGTCTGTTATTCCAAGAAGGGAAACAACACCAAAAGAAAAAATTATTAAATCAAAAAGGAATGTGGGTTCCCAAATTTAAGTTGAAAAAAACAAAATTGTAGGAGTTGATAAATTTCTAAATGAATGGTAGCTAATGAGAAGATGAACCAAGAGGAAATTATCAGTTCAGAAACTTAAGATATTGATAAAAAATATTAATGGAAGACCGACTAAATTTTAAACTTTTCCAATGCAGGGAAATAATTATTTGGAAAACTAAGTTCTGAAAAGTAATTGTCAAAGGAGAACAGACTTACAATATTAATACTGGAGCAGAGGCCAATCTGTAGGCCCAATTGTGGACCTTAACTGATCAACCGAAAGAAAATCACCCTCAAGCATATCACTTGAAAAAGAAAAACTAATAAAAAGAATTTTGAATGCCATTTTGGAAAAACTGAAAGGTAAGAGTGATGCAAAACCATAACTGTAACTCATGGCATCCTAGAACCCTAGGATGAGCAGTATTTAACCAAATAACATTTGTGAATGTGCCGATACAGATGTAGATTTTGAAAGAGATCTAGTGTTGTAATAGATCTGATTTTATATTTTTAAGATTTGTAAAAATTTAGTTAAATATAAATGTTTTTATTTTCTATCACCAGTTTTAAAAATATATGTAAGTATATTAAAGCAATGGATGACCATAGAAACCTAGAAGGAGATAGAAAGAAGAAAGCAGCTTAAGCAGAAGATCAACTAAAAGATATTATTTCGCTGGCACTGCCCACGGCAGCGACCACTTGCAGTTGACCATTGACCATTGAGGTGGTCTAGATATGACATTATATCTAAGCTGCTCCTATCTGATCGCTCCAGAAGCAGTGGAGGTGTTGGCGGTTCTAGGTTATGTTATATCAGAGCATTGTTTTGATAATAACAGTCAAGTTGATATGTTTTATTTCCAATGTTTCTTTCAATTCTGTCGAAATAATAAGAAATATTGTTTAAAACTTAAATAACACAATAGTAAATTATTTTTTTAAGGTTGAAGTAGCAAGATTATTTATTTATTTATGCCACCAACAGTATTTTACAGTAAAATTCAAGTATACCTAAATCCAAACAATATTAAATAAATAAAAGAATAAAAAAGCGGTAGTAAGTCCATTTTTTGGTGAAATGTTCGAAGGTTGTAGGTGGTTGTAAGAACCCCAGCGAGCATTTTCAGTGAAATAGTTATGTAACAGTGGTTGGCATCATGAAATAGCAGTCGCTGCCGTGGGCAAGTACCTAAAGCAAGACTAGACAGTAGAAAGCCAATGAACAACAGGAATATAATCTCTCCAACCGGACATTATCCGGCTGGTAAAGAGAAACGTTCAGAGGAATCAGCAACAGTGGGTCAACGATCATGCGCAAATAACAGAGGAAGCTGCACTTGCATTGGGGATGCAAAGAAGCTCTACAGCATTTCGAGAACTTTCAAATAAAGGTTTCCGAAAGACTCAACCAATTAAGAGCAAGAATGATATTTCCCTTATGTCTAGGGGGCGGAGTGACCAAATGGGCTAAAAAAAGTCAAAGGGGTGTTTGTTCAATTCTATTCAATACGGAAGAACAAGAAACTGTCCAAAAAAACAAAAATAAGGTTGTTTAACACCAACATAAAATCAGTTCTGCTCTACGGAAGTAAAACATGGAAGGTGACTGAAATCGTTATCAGACCCTTTTAAACCTTCATCAACCACTACTTCATGGGGATCTTGTGGTCTGAGAGGATCTCTAACGAAGAGCTATGGAGTATTACTGAACAGCTTCCTATCCACCTCAAAATAAGGAAAAAGAAATGGAAATGGATTGGACATACTAAGAAAAGCTGATAGTGCGATAGAAAAAGAAGCTCTTCAATGGATTCTTAAATGAAGAAGAAGAGGAAGACCAAGAGCAACATGGCAGAGATCTATGCAAAATAATCTGAACCGGCCTGGCAAGACTTGGCCAGAAGTAAAAATGATGGCTGCAAAAAGAACGGAATGGAACGCACTTGTAGATGCCCTATGCTCCACCAAGAGTCAATGGCTATAATCATAATAAATAAATAATATTAAGGATAGTTTTTGAGTTCATTGGAGAGATTGGTTTGAAATGAACTATTAAGAGTCATTTGCATCAAAAACGAACATCTACAGTCATGTTTGCTTAAAAACGAACAATGTGAATATTTGTTTCAAAGCCGAACCTCTGTATTTTCAAAGATAAATTTAACTAACTTTTCAAATCATGTCAGTATCACATCCTTTACACAATTGATAAACAATTTGAAGTTGAATTATGAAAACAAATATGAACAAAATTTGTTTAAATTGAAGCCTTACAATGGAAATTGGATTTTCTCAAAATTCTAAAGATAACAAATGTCTTTGTTATGAGACATCTCATTAATCCTCTATTTAAGCTGTGAAAAAAACCAGAACTGATCATTCTGTAGGAAAATAATGATTGAACCTAAACAAAGCAGTTAAAGTCTGATTTATTCTCTTTTTTTATTTTATTTTTTTTTGGCTTTAAGAATTTTAAAAGCAAGTGCTATTTTGCCAATAAAATATTTTAATTGTCATAGTACGATGAAGTTACACTGGATATTTATTGAATATTTCTAGATAGATGATCACTGAATGTAACTAAATATTGAATGGAAGTTATATAGAACTTAAACTAGAAAGACTAATAGTTAAAAACTGAGGTGACAGTAGTTTCATAACAATTAAATGAGAATAAAAGGCAACTTTTATTATATAACTGCTGTTATGCCATTCAAAAACTTTTATCAGGTAACGATGGTCTTGAGGTTTGTAACGATTTATTTAGCGACCGGATCGATTTTTAAGTTTTATGGCTCAAATTATTTAGTGAGATCCCCTGAGAGTTTTGAGCAATTTGAGGCAATAAAAACTGACCCATTGTTGAATAATTTTTTTTTTTTTTAATTAAGCGAATGGCTGGATTGTTTTTTAAGTTATTTGTTGAGATCACCTGAATGTTTTCAAACAAAACATAGCATTAACTTTTACTTCAGTCCTTTCAGTATTCGTATATGTAGTGAAAGTTCGAGAAAAATTAGAAAAAAAATGTTATAAACACGGTGATAAAGGAATCGTAAATGAACATGTGTTTGGACCTATTTTTTAAAAAGTTCATCTAATTTCCACCAGATTTTGTTTTTTTAAATCCTTGAAATGAGACCAGATTTTAGCAAATTTATAGAGTATTGATTGAGTTAATCAAACTGGTATTAAAGGTGCCACTTATTTTAAACATCATAGAAATTGTACTTCTAACGACCATTATCTTTATTCATCAACCGAAGAAAGTTAGCTCCATCATCCGTAGTTTGCGAACCTAAAGTAATTCTTCTTCGCTTCTCGAATCTTTTGCATTTGAAGGTAATGTGTCTTGGATCCTCTAAACATTGGCATGTTGTACAGTGACCGCTCTTAGCTATACCCGTTAGATGTAGATATTTATTAGTTCAGCCATGATTTATCCTAAGCCTGGTCAGCTTTACTAAGCTGGAGCGGCCGAGATGAGATTTAAGAGTAGCAAACCATGGAACTAGTGTTTTTTTTTTGGTTCTTCCCTACCTCGCCATTTTAGGCTATACAGGATTTTCCCGGGTCGGAGGGCGAGGGCGAGGAATTTAAAATCCCCTCAGGCGAACTCTGACTCTTACTTTTTAAATCTTCTCAAATCTTTAATTCTGTTGACAGGCAAGTCGCGTTGCTGTGAACACGCTTTAGCCCATTCGGCCACCCTGCCCTCTATGGAACTAGTGTTATCTTCTGTTGAACTGCATGATCGTCCTTATCCTTCGAGGCACATTCCCAGTCCTAGAAATGCTGCCAGGCTTTCATTATTTCTCCCCTCACTACTCTTATCAAATCCAGTAAAGGAACCTTAGCATTTATTCGATTTAGTTGGTTTTGATTAGCTGTTTTGTCTGCTATTTCATTTCCTGATATTCCTACGTGTCCCCGGCACCCACTGGAAAAAGTTAATTGTTGCTGGAGTTGTATATTAGTAATATGATTTTAAAGGAAATTTGTGCCAGTGCTTTATTTTGATAGATTAATTTTAGGTGTTTACATGCAGTTGCTGAGTCTGTCAGAATAACTATTTTTTGGTTGATGTATCTGTTTTCGCTGTATATTATATCGTTAAGAATGGCATATAGTTCCATCGCTGAAAATACTGAAATCAACTGGTATTGGTAATGAAAATGTCTGGTTCTTTTGTGGATCATGCATAGCTACAGACGTTCGCTTACTTGTTTTTGATGCATCTGTATAAACTTGTAGATAATTAGGGTAATGTTCCGTGATTGTGTTCAGTGCTGATTGTTTTAAATAAATTGATGGGTTTAAACTGTTCTTTTCTACTTTACCAGCTAGATTAGAGGAGCTGTAAATATTAATTAAAGATTTGGGAATGGGCGTTGTGTATTCCAGAGGAGCTGTGTAATGATTTGATAAGAGGCTGTAATTCGTTAATAATGACGGATAGTTGGGGAAGTTAAAGTCTTATGAAATGTGTACCTATGCTCTATAAGAGAATTGTTATGTTCTAGTAAAACAAAAATTGCTGTTAAATTTCTTGTAAAACTGAGAAAATCAATTTCAGAATCTTAATGTGTATTTTAAGAAGTCGATGGAAACAAATGTTTATCCCACACTTACAGGAATGTATTGAATGATCCAAACACACAATCAGAAAATAAGTGGTTTGAATTTAATTATTCTTTATATAATTTACACATTAATGTTGAAAACAATAAGACCCTTCTATTCTGAAGTCCTGATTATTCTTCAACAAGTAAGATGAATGACTACTTGAATTTTGGAGCAACATCAGTAAAGATGGAAAAATCAACTGAAATAAAGTTGGAACAATGCTTGGGTCCTTCAAACTTTGACGTTGTTGGCATGCCATGAGATTGCTGTAGCAAAAACAATACACTATACCTGGATTCCTCAATTTTTTTCTACTTGAGGACATATTTATAGGTTATTAGTTAAGCGATGGGCACCAATTTGTTTGTTTTTCTGTTGCTGAAGATAATGTATTATTTGGATAGCACTGTATTTAATTTTTCATTGTTTAATCATTTGGAAAATAGGGTTATAAATAAATAAGAGGTTATTTAATAATAAACAAAATTATAAGAGTATGTAGTAGACAGCCCCCTGTATTTACTTCTTTATGTGAGGCAATTAGAAGAAATAAATTAATATATAGGAATGTGAGGTTGCACGATGAATTGTACTCAATTGTGCAGTGGACAAATTCATTGAAAAGTCTCATATCGATAAACAATCGATGAAGAAGGAAAAAGGTCCGGTCAAGTAACAGCAGCTGGAGAAAGACGCCAGGGAGAGGGGGAGAAGGGCACTTGAGGCTAGGACACGGAGGCGAGAGGACGCTAGGCATGGACAGGAAGAAAGGAGGTTGTCAGAAGAGAGAGATACTACATTGAAGACTAAGAATATCAAGCCTAAAGTTATAAGACTTTTATACATTCGTTTATTACAGTTGTAAAATAAATTGTTTTATTATACAGGAGTGAAAAGTCATTTTATTTAGTTGTCCTATATGCCTCACAACTGAAGAATAACAAACCAGGTGAGTCAATTCATTTAAAGTGTATTTACTCAGTTCCACATTTCATATATGTATTCTTATTGTTTCTGCTCCTTACTCAGCGTCACAAAAGGTATTAGATTCCCGAATTCCTAACGACAGTTAAACACCCTCAAAAGTCGATATTCTGTGCCGGGGTTTTGTTTTAATAATGAAAAGTGTAAATAACCTAGTTCTCCGATAAACAGAAGGAATGTTTACTATTCCCGCCAAAAACTAATTATTTTCATTTAACTTTTATCAGGTTATTTACAAGTATTAATATATTTATTTCAGGTGTGGGTTACTGACAATCTGATCAAAACATCCAGACAAACTAATATTAACTACACTAAACACTGTTTGATTTTAAAATAATTAAAGTATGGATTGGCAAGCTAACCTTTTTTCTATAGATACTGTTTCTTCCTTTGTTGCACTAAATTCATTTGTCTTCAAATGCTTTCCAATCTTCTGCCAAAATACAACTTCCAAAATCATGACACTTTCTTCTACTCAACTCAAGCTCTCTTGGAGATCCTCTCTCTTGTAATTCCAAACAACTTCCAAGATAGTAATACTATTACTGGGTTTTACCCACAGGAGCCAGAATTCCTTCTCCTATTCTCTCCTTTACTCCAACCAAACACCAACTGTTTGCCGAAACAAAAATCCTTTGGGTCCCCTCTCCTCTTTAGGATTTTCCTTTCTGGGAAAACTATAGAGCAGCCATTTTCTTTTCCCTGAACTAGTGGAACTAGATTAGCTTATTTTTTAACTGTTACATTAATTTATTATGCCATTTTTAACCCACTTCTAATAAAGGTGTGCATTAAAATATATAATAATATTTCACTTTTGTTCTCATTCATTGTGAACTTTTTATATTAAAATTTGACTTCTTCTTTTTATTTATACCTTATGTCTTCATTGCTTAGTGAAAAATTTAACAAAAGTTATGATTTGAATTTTTTTGTTCTATCTTCGCGAGGTGGCGATTGGTGTATGTAGCGGGATGTATTGCTTCCTCTAAATAATTTGAAAAAAAAAAATAATACAAACGAATTTTCTGAAAATCCAAGAAAAATAATAAAAAAATTATTAGGAGCTAGGTGAGGAAGGGGAAGAGAATAAAAAAAAAAGTATCTTTTGGTCCACCACAAAATAACTACATTTCCATCTTCTTTGCAAATGTTTCATGGTTTGTTGGTGTTATACTTTAAATCTTTATTGTATATTCATTTCTATATAGTTGAATAATTATTTTTTCAGATAAATAAATATAAACCAGAAATATTATGGTCCGATGGAGAGTGGGAAGCACCCAGCAAATATTGGAAATCTGAAGAGTTTTTAGCCTGGTTATACAATGACAGTCCTGTTAAGGATTCAATAGTGGTCAATGACCGCTGGGGAGAAGAAACACTATGTAAACATGGCGGATACCTGACTTGTTCTGATAGATATAATCCAGGTATTTTTCTTTCGTACTGTAATTTTTTCAAAATTATTAATATTGGTTTTAATAAACCAGTGGTGCATTTATCTAATATTGCATGAAATTTATATTGTAACAGCTTCATAGTTTTTTCAATCTCTGCTTACTCTTTACAGATCTTTTAGAAACTTGTTAAACTTTTTAGAAAATAAATAATAATTTTTTTTTCTAACGCTTTACAAATAAATTTTCAGTTTTTATAAAAAAAAGTTTTGTTTAGTTTTTATTTATAATTTTTACATCTGCATAACAACTTGTCATTTTTTACTAAATTTAAGAAGAATTGCCTATTTTAATACTTTCATTTTATAAGTGCTATATAAATACATAGTAAGGTAGAAATTTCAAATTCAAGTTTTCTGAAGAAAAAAAAAATCGAATCCAAATGTAAACTTGTTACAAATTCTATCAAAAAAGTTGCATTATTTAATTGTTAATTAATTTAATTTATTAGTACTGTTATAATCTACAATTGTGAAGTGGTTTTACTTTTTTACAATAAGAGAATAGATTTGATATTTTAAAAATAAGTATCATCTCAAAGTGTGTTCGAGAGGAATGTAACACCATTCTTTTGAAATAAATGTTTAAGTTCCTTTGGCTTTTGGGTAAAATTTTCAAGTTTTTTTTTGTTGAGAAATTATAAATTTTAGTTGAAATTATACTTATGATTTTCACCTTTAATTAGATTACTCATTTTCTATATAAATATACATTAAATTAAAATTTATAGTTATAAAAATAATGAGAGTCATTTAATACTTCATCCTTTTCAAGCCAAAATAGGTATGTTGGAAAAATATCAATATATCAAATAAAAAAAAAAAATATATATATATATATAGATATAAAATTTGACTGTTTAGAAAATTTAATAAACAAAAAAAACTAAATAAAATATGTTTAAAGAAAAGCCACTTCACTGGCGGGCACATAAAAAGGAGGCTATTTTTAAACACAATATCTTAGACATATTGGTTTAATTTTTTTTTCTTTTATATCTTAATTGCAAGGTTGTTTTTTTTTTGTTTAAAATAAAATTATAAATTCTTTTCTTAGGTTTTAATCGTAATTAATTAATTTTTATTTTTATTCTTTTTTTAGTTGAATTAATTTTTCACTCATTTTTAATTATATGCCTTTTCATAATAAATATGAAAACTTAATTGGTTTTAAGTTATTGATTAAGTATTCATTTTCTGTCATCCTGTTATTTATTTATTCTATCATAGGATTTTTTTTTTTAAAATTGTGATAAGCAATATACTAATATTTAATTGTTGGTATTAAAGCTAATCAAAATCCAAGACTTCAATTCAATGTTAATCCTGTTCCTCTTCTTTCAAAGATAAAGAATATTGAGACCTAAAGTACCAAGCCTGATATATCGAATTACCTTTTCAACATATTTGAAAAATATCAATTTTTTATGTTTGCATCCCTAATTCAAAAATCTGGTGCACGCAACACACAGCTTTCACTTACCACTCAACTTTAAATAAAAATTATTTCTGGCTATTTCCGAATTGCATTTTTAATTGAGTTAAAGCTAAAAGATTACAGCTAACAAATCATAAATACTATGAAAATATCAAAAGTTCTATTTATTAAATCACCGGTTGATTATGGATTGTACGCGACTATTAGTTATTAAACTGTTATTTTCCATTGCAAAGTTTACTAAAACGAAATTAATAGATTTGCATTGTCTGTCATAGACAGGTCAAAAATTGTCACACTGATTGTAAGCGGATTCTGTTGGAATATTGCAAAGGGAAAATTTATCAAATTATTCACTAATTTAATTTTCTAAAAGGTTACATAATGATTTTTCAGAATAAACGAACGATCAATACCTAATTATTCAAATATAATATCAGATCTCGAGTTATTAAACTACGGTAAAAATACACTGACAGGCAAAAAATTCCACCCACTTGATTTTTTCATGTTTTCATCTAAAAATATTTCTGCTTTGGATAGGTCTATTGTTTTTAATGAATAGATAGGTAATCTTTTTGTTTGTTTTCAATTAGGAATGTTAATATAGAGGGCAATAACCCTTAATCCTTAATTCAATGAAATGATTCTAGATTCCAATGTTTACTTTCTATGGAATCAAAATGTTTATTCAGTATCATTAGTTCAGTGCCGTTTCTTGCAGCACATTTCTTAGTCTCCGACTTTTATTTTGTTCAATATTAAGTTTAAAAATGCCTCTTAGTGCTGAGGATGTTGCACGTGGTGTGGCACTTATTGATGATGGACGTTCCATTAGAAATGCAGCTAATGCCATCGGAGTTCCATTTGAAACTTCATGAGACACCGTCACGCGTTTTCGGGAAACTGGTTCTTACAATAGAAGGCCCTAGGAAAGTGGTTCTAGATGGCCTAGGGTAACAGAACCACGGGATGACCGGTTTTTGACTTTGAGAATTTTACGAAACTGGCACCTTACCATTGTTCAAGCGATTCATCAGCTCGAAGAAGTTCGAGGTGTGCAAATTTCTGAACGTACCGCTTGGAGAAGATTAAATGAGTATGGATTAATGGCTTTTCGTCCAGTAAGAGGACCAGAGTTGACCAGAACTCGCAGAGTAATAAGGCTGGCTTTTTCTCGAGAACACAGCCATTGGACTAGGGACGAATGGAATGCTGTACTTTTTACAGATGAGTCAAGATTCGCTCTTCAAGCTCCAGACGGCCGTGAAAGGGTGTGGAGAAGAAAAAAGGAAAAATATGCAGCCTGTAATTTTTCCCAGAGCCAACCTTTCCAACGTGGTTCCTTAATGGTGTGGGCTGAGATTTCAATGGAGCGCCGCACAGAATTGGTTGTTGTTCGTGGAGGGTCTTTGACGGCCATTCGCTATGTAGATGAGATTTTAGAACCTCATGTGATGACTATCCTCAATGAAATCGGCGATCGTTCTATTCTAATGCATGCCCACATGTCGCCCGCATAGTGCAGACGTTCCTTCAACAGAATAATATTGAGGTTTTAGCCTGGCCAGCACGTTCTCCAGATTTGAACCCCATAGAGCATTTATGGGATAACCTCGGAAGACGAATAAGAGCACGTGCAACACTTCCTGATACACTGCAGGACCTTGAAAGGGCTCTTTGGGAGGAATGGGCTATCTCCAGCAAAGGGACATTTCCCGACTGGTGGAAAGTATGCCGAGGCGTCTTCAAGAAATATTGAAGGCAAGAGGAGGAAAAACGCGCTACTAAACGATGATGTAATTAATTTCTTTTAGAATAATAATGGTTCGTTTTTCAATTTTTTTTTCTCTAATCTTTCTTACCCAATCACATTTTGATTATTAAAGGTAAAAAAGATTATAAAATTCCATAAATGCTAAGTATTATCTACAAATACCATGTATTATTTGCAAATACAACTTTTTATATAAGTGGGTGGAATTTTTTGCCTGTCAGTGTATAATATCAGATCTATAATCACTAAACTACAGTAAATGTATTTAAGGTTATAAACATATGCTTTATACATCCATGAAGTGATTTTATATTTTACTTCTTCTTTCACACAAGTACAATGAAATAGTTTTTTTAACAAACTTAAAAATATTTTAAAAGTTTACATTTAGTTAATAAATTTCATTTAATTTCCTTGAAAACATGTGATTTACGTTAAATAATGTTATTTTTAAGAGATTATTATTTAAAAATTTTCGTCACTCTCTGTTACCTTCTAAAACTTTCTATATAGATAATCCTAAATTTCTTTGCTTTCCAACAATATATTATATGTATATCCAAACTAGTATTTCCATAGATTAATTTTTGACCTGGATAAGCATTTTTATTTTTTTCTCCTTTATTCAATTATCCAATTCTTTCAAATATTTAGCATTATTTTGGTAACTTTTAATAATGAGAGATAATTAATTATTTGAAATGAACCATATTAAAGGTACTTTAGAGGAAGACATATATGAACATTGGGCATTTAAGCCTTGTAAAGTGACATCAATGAGGATAAGATCTAAATGATATTAAAGGCCACTTAATTATACAATGATACACTGAGTTTAATCAAAATCGTTAAGAGCCGTTTTTGAGAAAATTGTAAAAATGTGTTTCAGAGTTGATATAAAGTGCCATTTCTGATTAGTCGATTTTAAGGAAAAAGTTACTAGGATATCTAAGGCATATACCTATCTTGAATACATAACATCAGTTTCGTAGGACTTTTCGTTTTCGAGCTACAGTGTTCACATACACACAGACCATTTTTCAGGACTTGGTTATTTGGACTCAGGGTACCTCAAAACGTGTATTTCCGTTGAAAACTCAGACTCGAAAATTTTCACAATCGCAATACTTATCCTTACTATATATTACATATACAGGTAAGTGTAAGTAAAAAGTGTTGTAGAACATACAACTGTGAGGAGTAATGTTCTTACCCAGTTTACCCAGTTTGGAGGACTTCATCTAACCTTATGCTCTTTTTTCATGTTCGTTTCTTTACCTCCTAGGAAGTATAAATTAGTTTAAAGAATGTTAACAGTTTTTATACATGTTCCTTCCTCTTTATAATTAATTTAATGATCATAAAATAAATAAATCTATGATTAGAACAAAATGGTAAGCAAATCTGTAGGAGTTAAATAGTAATTTATTAGCCCATTTAATCTCCTATGATAATTATCCAATCATGTAAAATCTTCAGTGCCTGAAGTTTATCAAATATTGATTGCCTGCATATTTAATTTTTTATAAATCTTTTTTTTTTTTAAGTAGGCAGAAGACCAGTCAGGACCATAAGAGATACGTTCAAATAACTTTTAGTTATGTTACTGCAATTGACACTTGATAATGCTGAATTTCCGTTATAAGACCTATACCATTCTTTAAAAAAAGTGACTTCTTTAAAGAATTTTTTTTAAAAGTTTCTTTAGGGAAAAAAGTTTTTCTGTTGTTGGTTGTGCACCATTTTTTGTTAGTTAATTAGTTCATGAGAGAAATTTCACTCTTGTTCTAAAATATCCACACAAATATAAACTTTGTGTCAGTAAACACAAGTTTGCTGAGGAAATCTAATCAATTTTTTTTTTAGTACTGTGTGTTACTAAGTCGTTTCATACAATCCAACTAGATCTTATAACTTTTATTAATTAAAGGATTAAGGCGAACCTTGTTCGAGAATATGGGATCCTTTCTCTGACTTAAACTTTCTTGTCACTTACTTGCACTAAATTAATAAATTTTCGACTATACTACGGCATAGAAGTTCTTATTGATGCTCTGAGAGATTGTATATTTTACATCATCAGGAGCTCCACCAATTTCTTCTGTTGACTGAAAACCCATCTGGCTCATGAACTCATGAACACCCAGCCTTCTTAAAAATGATTATAACATTCAAATTTTTTACAGCTATTAAATGCCTCCTTAATAAAAGAGGAGTTTTCGCCTTTTTTTCATTGTTTGAAGAAGTTGCATTTTATAAGCTGTTCGATTCATGTAATAATTTATTTTCATCGTATGCTTAAGTTATTTTCATTGAAGAGTTGAGCATACTTTTTACCACAATCATTAGTAATACCATGCTATATTTCTTCTTGGACGACTAGAACAGAAAGTTATTTTTGACTGAAATTTACTTGATCAATTGAGTTTGAGATTAATACCTCAAAAGACAGTCTAATACAAAAATACTTATTTTTAAGTTATTAAATTTTCACTATTTATTTATTCTTTAATACGTTATTGATATCTTTTTTTTTTTACCTATTAATAAATAAAACATTCTCCAGTAAATTTAAAATATTTAATTTATATGGTTGCTATACATAGACTGAATGAGTTATAGCTTTTCTTGAATTTGGCTCAACTTTTTTTTTTGTTTTACTTACATTACAATTATTTTATACTATTATTACTTTTAGGAAAATTACCTCCTCGAAAATGGGAAAATGCCATGACTCTTGATAAAAACAGTTGGGGTTACAACAGGAAATCCAATATTGATGATTACCTTTCTACACAACAGTTGGTTGATTTACTAGCAAGAACTATTGCATTGGGAGGTAAATTTTCTTGTTTTTATCCTTATTTCTCTTGTTTGAAGGATTGTACTTAATTGAGGATAGTGGATACGGCCTCTGGAATTTCACAAGAACATAATTAATGTTTTCTTATTTATATATACAAGATTTTTGATGTGTCTGTTTGGTTCAAATTAAAAATTAAATTATTTTTATTAGATTGTAAAATATATTAAAGATATTTTAAGAATTATGAATGATTGTTATGTTTTTGTGTGGTTAGTAATTGTTTTATGGTTCAATTTAGGTACTGTTTTTGGTCATGTTATACAGTCTTCATCAATATTTTTATTTATTTGTTCATTAATTTATTAGTATATTTTGTTTTTTTAAACTGCTTCTAGAACAAAAAAAAAAATACTAATGGGAAAATATATAAAAGCTGTATAATAATGCAGTATAAATTGATATAGGTATAGATCACTTTGGGAGGAATGAACTATAATTGTTAATGCTATCACAGAGCTGTTATCTTGTTTTTGAACAAGGAATATTACTTTGAATTCAGATTAGAATACAATATATTTATAATTGTTTCTAGATTAATTTGTATGGAAAAAACAAAAATAAAATACATGATTTTATGGCACGTAAGCCACTTTTTTATGGAATGCTTCAATTCAACCGTAGTAATGATATTGTAATTTAATATAAAAAAAAGAAGAAATAAGGATTATTTCTAGTAGAGAAACATCTGACGCTTTGTACGAAGAAAGCTGTGTGTATTGATAGGGTTTTTCTAATATTTGCCACAGAACATGTCTGACTGTAAGTGTTGAAAAAAAAAAGAAATGGAAAAGTGATAATAAACAAAATCAATTTGTTAAATTGTTTGCATGATCAATATAAACTTTATATTGTAATTTGTGTTCAGATAGTTACCACATCACTTTAAAACTTATGGATGGATATAGGAGAACAGTTAAAATGTAGAAACTGTTCCAATTAATATTAATACCTCCTATTAATATTAATAGGCTCCAATCACCTCCTCAAAACTGTTCCTAACTTTCCAACCCTGTTCCTACATGATAATCCCATCAAATTTTATCCCACCATCAAAATCCTTGGAATAATCTTCGATCAAACCCTTTCCTGGAAAAACCATGTGTCCAATATCTCCCGACGTACCTTTTCCACCCTAAAACACTTAAATAGCCTGCGACACCTTTTTCCTTTTGAAATCCATAGACTCCTGGTCACCTCCTTAATATTTCCACACTTCGACTATTGCTGCACAGTATATGGAGGCGTCTTTGGGGATCTCGAGGCGAAACTAAAACGTTTGATAAATTGCTTTATACGATTCATCTTCGGGATCCCAAGAGACGCCCCTGTTTCCTGTTTCTATGAAGAGTTGAAGTGGCTTTATCCATCCTACCGCTGTAAGTATTTCCTGGCATCCTTCCTCTTCCGAGTAATTCACTCCCGCCGTCCTTCATACATCCCCGAGCTCCTTCAATTTAAATCCTCTGTCCACTCCCGCAATACCCGTTCCCGGTCTTCAGATTTATATATAATGGCCCACCGAACCGCTGCTTTCGATAAATCTTTTATTATTCGATCCTCTTCCCTATGGAACTCCATCCCTCCCCACATCCGTCAATCCAAAACCCTTCCTACCTTTAAATCCCAACTGTTTAATCATTTCTTATCCATCCAGTCATCATAAAATTGTAAATAGTTACTACTGTAAATATGTATATAAATTATTAGATCGTTCTTTATTTTTTTTACTTCATGTGTATTTTCAATTTTTTACTTTTTATTATTAACTAATGTAAATTAGAAAGTAACTTATAATTTCTCTTATTATTCTTTTTTTCTGGGAAGTTGTCAATTTGTTTTAGTTTTTTGGCAATTTAATAAATTGCATGTTAGCCTTGCAACCACAAGAGTATTGGAATTGCTGTTCTGAAGATGGGAATAAATGTCCCGAAACGTCAACTAACTTGTTAACATGTAACGTTGATAGTAAAATATACTCAATTGTTAACAACTGGAAGTCATTATTGCCAAACAACTAAAATTCTCATATTAATTTTTTTTCATTTATCTATTTTCTTTTTTTTTTACTATTTAATCAAACTATATTCTTCTTTATGTATCTCTGAGGCTCCTTAGCCCACATTTTTGTCTCTCTGTATTATTCTAAAGGGACTCATCCCAGAATAAATAAAGCATTATTATTATTATTACCTCTATAATGAGTTTAATTTTTTTTTTATATTACCAGGTAATATTTTGATAAATGTTGGACCTTCAAAGGATGGAAAAATTAATCCAATATTCCAAGAAAGATTGTTAGATCTCGGAAAATGGCTGAAGGTGAATGGTGAAGCAATATATGAATCCTCTCCATGGGATGTTTGCCAGAATGATTCATCTCAACCAGACATATGGTAACAACTATTTTTCTGCATTGCAAAACAAACCATATACCAAGCCTATTTATTGAAATTTTATCAATCTTAATTGTCTTCAGTATCAAATAAAATGTCTCTCTCTCTCTCAGAGAGAGAATTATAGAGGTACACTGTATTTAAAAATTATTAAAATAACGAATATTTTAGAAATCTGAAAATTCTATAACATTTGGGAATGGTCCCAGTAAGTTTCACTACTTAACAATCTATTGTAATATGCACACCATAGGCCAAAAGATGATACCTCACCTCATTTGTTACAAAAAAGTACTAAATTGAAGTTTTATATTTTTTTAAGCAGATTTTTATCAAACAGGAAGCAATTTCTAAAAAACTGTTCAATTTAGGTAATTACTAAATGTAGAATAGTTAACTAGATTCTTTCTTTTCAAATACAACAAGAATTTGTCTTTCTCTGATTATTGAGCTAATCTGTAAGTCAGGGTGCACTGCAAAATGGATAATAGCATAGGGTCCAAACAAAATTATTTTCCTTAGTATTGTTGTTATGTAATCTTTCTATAAAATAGTTGTTGAACTATTGATTTGGAAAGTGTTTGTTAGGAAGCAATTGATGATTTTTTAATCCCTTTGAATGGTTCAACTAAGGCTAACTGATTAGTTGAATTTTTGACAGAAAATTATTAGGAACAAAAATATTTTTTTTTTAATTTTAGCTTGACAAAAAAAAAAAAAAAAAATATATATATATATATATATATATATATATATATATATATTATATTTTATGTACTTATATATGACCACCACGCTGAAAGGCACAAGGAGGAAGAAGAAGTATTTATATATGTAATTGTTGAAAAATAAAATTATTAAATTATTCAGGACTCCTTAAAATGCAATAGGACAGTGAAAGGAAAAAGCTTGTGAATATATGTGTATATTATATTGTACTTATATATGTAATAGTTGAAAAATAAAATCATGGACTAGAAAAAAAAGAAAAGAAAATTATTCATTGAAAATATGGTAAAAAAATTCATTATGATTTTCTAATGAATCTTACTTTAAAATGCCATAGGACAGTGCAAGGAAAAAGCTTGTGAATATATATGTAATAGTTGAAAAATAAAATCATGGACTAGAAAAAATAAATTATTCATTGAAAATATGGTAAAAAATTTCATTATGATTTTCTAATGAATCGTACTTTAGTAATTTCAGATCTTTAGTGATTATACACTAGCCAAAATTAAAAGTATAATTGTGAAGAAGTGTATTAATTTCTATCAGAATCCCGTCAATTCTAAAGAAAGATGGATAGTTACAATGAAGGATGTTAAATATTTATATCTTTTAAACTTGTACCACTAATTTTTTTCATTGTATATTAATTTTTATTTGTTAGTTCTTTGAATACAGTGAATTTTGTTTGATTTTCGAAAAAAAATTACTAATTGCTTCCTAACAAACACTTAACTAATTAATTGTTCAACATCCTCTTTCTAGAAAGATAATATAGTGAGGAAGACAAGTTTGTTTGGATGGTATGCTGTTATCCATATTACAACACTGTTTAAATATTTGGTAGTATGCTGAAGTACTGTAAGTTTTCTTTAAATAATTTAAAACATTTAGAGTTTTTCAAAAATATTTGTTAATCAAAATCAAAATGCTTTCTATCAACTCAGTTATTTGTTTAGCGATTTTTAATTTTATTTTTCCACGTACATTTCAGATTTTATTCAGTTAATCAGATGTATTTGGTTGTGTACTAATCATGTGTAAGAAACAGGCATAAATAATCCAAAATTAATATGGGTGAAATCTCATGGAGCTGCTAGCATACGCTATTTAAAATAAATATATATCTTTATATATTGAATATACATATCTAAACAAGTCATTTTCATTCTGCTGAGTGATTTTGTTTTTCTTTATTTCCTAAGTGCCTAATCATGAATTTAATTTAAATTCACAGGTACACCACCAAAAACACAGGGAAAGATCTTTATGTAATAATGTTAAGATGGCCTAAGAGCAACAATATCTACTTATCTTGCCCGCAGATTTCAGATAAATCTAAAATATCTATGTTAGGGCTACCAGGCATAAAATTACAGGTATTGTAAAATTCATTTTTTTAAAAAATAAAATCTGTCCTATTCGATAGTATAAGAAATTTAGCTAAATTAGAAACATATTGTTACAGGGAGTGATGACAGTGAAACATTTATTAAAAATTGCATTGCCGGATAAAGCTCTAGTAGAAAATGAATGGGGTTGGACTATCAAAATAAAAAATGTAGTATCACCTTAATGGTTGCTAACTTTATTTACAATTGTGTAGTATAAACACAAGACTTAAACAGATCATTATCAGTCTTGATATTTTTATATATAAATTTGTATAAAAAATAACATATGGCATATATAAATACTTAATGGTAAATGATATAGTTATTTATAACAAAACTGTATAAACACGATATTACATTGAAGAAAGTACATACACAATTTTAATTTCATGTCTAAATTTTTTGTATTCCTATTTTCTGTAATAAATAAGTCTTTAAAAGATTCATTTGATACATTTATAATATTTGAATACTTAATAGTTGACCATTGTATTATAGAACAAGGAGGTGATCCGGGGTGGCGGTCATAAATAGACTAAAATAGTGGCAAAACTATTTTATTAAAAGCCAACATTTAACCCAACTTTGCAGGTCTTCTTCAGGGAGCTGTGTTCAGCAGGGAGTTTCACTTAAACCAGTTTTAAGTGAAACACCTCTTTGAAGAAGACCTGCAAAGTTGGGTTAAACGTTGGCTTTTAAGAAAATAGTTTTGCCACTATTTTAGTCTATTTATGACCGCCACCCTGGACCATCTTCCTCCATTTATAGTATTTGTATTAATATTTTATAAACAATATGTTCCTATTTTAATTTCATATGGATTTACACTTTTTGACAAAAAGTATAAGAACAAGAACAGTCAGCCAGCACACCTGATGCAATCAGGATAGTCATTACTAAACATCAATGTAGTTATGATGATAGTAAATGAAAAGTTTGAAACTCATAAAATAAAAAATTAAAGAATGCGAAGAAAAGAATGTGTATAAAAGTTGCAGGTCTGTAATTAAGCTTTATATTACATCATTTATAATACTGTGTCAACATATTTTTTTTTTTAAAGCTCATATCCTAAGTTTTTCAAACTAAGATTCTAATTTTCATAAGCTCTCAATAATTAACACAGATATTGCACAAAGCAATATTCATTATTTACGATGTATTACACAATTTAAGTCCAACGTATTAAAATTTATATTTTACATAAACCAGGACCAAACCTTAATATCTTCTTTACAAACAGCAAGGTAACTCCATTTTGTTAAAAAATAAAATATTAAATGAAATATATTTTTTACCCTTTTCATCAAAATTGAGAGAAATATTAATACTGTGGATCAATACTCCAAAATCTAGCAATACAGAATGAAATGTACTTTATAAAAGATTATCAGACCGAAAAATTCCAAAAAAGCTATGAAACTAATTAATTGAAAATAATTATAAATTAAGTGTACAAATATTAAACATTAAGAAGTCTGTTATCCTTGTGTGCTCCATCTTTCCACTATAATTTTTTAATCAAGGCTAATATGTGCCTTGATATACTAGTAAGAATAAAAGATTAGAGGAAAAACAAATTATTGATAAACATTTTGAAAAATAAATAAACACTTATCAGTAAACAACATTATTAAAATTTTAATGTTTATCATAATTTTTAACTCAATAAATATTTTTACAACTGAGATAAACAGACCACTTAAAACAATGTCAATTCTGACATTTTTATGCATTTAATTACCTTATTAATTATGATAAAGTTATTGTCTTCTATTATCACTGCTATTGCATGAAAATAGAAAATTATTCTTGAAATTGAAATAAGACATCAATAATCACAATCAGACCGAACTTAAATCTAAAAAAATATTACAGTCATACCATAATATGTACACAAAATAAATTGAAATATTTTTCCTACTATTTACATTCTTTAAAAATATTTACACAGGAAATTAGTAACTTTCTTTTTTAATACTAAGTACTAAGTAGGTATTTAAAATACCAATAAATATTAAAAATCAATTGTTTAGAACTAATATTTTTAAAATAAGGAAAGGAAATGATTGTAAAATTTTAAAACTTAATAGAAAATCAGGAGTAACAGCAGCATGTTAAAAGATAAAAAACTAATGACTAATACTTCTTTGTTCCTGTCTTTGGACGAAAGAAAACAATTTTCAAAGAACCAACCATAAAATCTTACTGTAGCAAATTAAAATTATCACTAATGAAGTATAACTAAAATCTCCCACTAAAATTAGGATTCTGTTGCTGTTGTCCTCCCTGTAAATAATAATGGTAAATAAGTTAATCTGCAACAAAACTTATAAGCAGACTGATATCTAAAAACTAAAATAAAGAAACAATCATTACTATCATGCAAGTAGGGTTAAAATAAATTCAAGGAGATAAAATTCCACAATGAAATCTATGACATAGAAGTATCTAAATTAAAGAGTACTGTTAATAAAATTTTTAAAATTATTGAATTGGATTTTTAACGGATGTCTACCTTGAAATAACAAACAATAATTGCGTGACTATTATCGTTCAATATTTATAAACCAGCCATATCTAGGGGATTAAATTGATTAAGTTCTGATAAAATTAGTGATTCATGAATTATACAGTAGATAAAAGTGGAGAGTAATATAATGATAACCATACCACAGGTGTATTAAATTCTAGTTTGAGTTTAATTGTTAGCATGGATAGGCAATTTGCTCATTATTAAATTACCTGAAACATCATGCTCTGATGAAAGTCAGGTGGTGCTTGAGGTTGCTGTCCTCCCCCTGGATGTGAAAGGCGCACCCTCTTAGCATTAGGTCCACTATGTCCGTGGCTACTTCCTTGCTCTGATTGGCCACCTCCACCTTGACCTCCCTATTGGCATGAGATCATACAAACAAATTTATGTAAAACTTTAGACATAGAATATATCTATTATAAAACCAGGTATAGACAAGAACAATTATTGTCTTTAAAAAATCAGATGTGCTTACCCCACAATTTTCACTTACCGCTCTACTTTGAATAGAAACCGATTTTTGCTCAAATTGAACTAGTTAATAATGTTGTTTAATTGAGAAAACTACAAAAGTGCATTTTTAATAGAGCTTAAATTCATAGACATTTGCAAATTTCTGTCATATTTTTAATAAAGCTAAACTTTAAAGTACAGATTTTTAAATGTCCGTCATATTTATCAATGCTAAAATTCATTAGATGCATCAAAATAACATAAACCCTATTATATACAAAAATTAGTCACACTAAGTGCACAATATGATTTTACTGAGAAAATCTGCATTGGTAAGTAACAACAAAATTGAGACATGAAAAATCAAAAAACTTATCACGTTCCAAGATTTCATTCAGAAGCCATCATAACCTGTGAAATATGAGATTCAGTGAAACAGGAAAATCTATCTTTCAGAACCGCCACTCACCACCCGTTTCATTTTTTAGCTATCACTCCCAGATAATCCTCTGAGGTCTTTGGTCTTTGCTTATGCTTGGAAAATTTCTAGTAGTTCCACAAAGATTTCCTTTTTCATCTTATACTTAAAATCATCACACTGCAAGAGGAGGTAAGATAGAGTAAGGTAAGGGTACCCCTCATCAGATATAAGTCTATTTACCTTCATCAACCAAACTTATACTTAGGCACCTGTTAGAAATTCTACTTCAAGAGAGGAATTTTTGACAATAGTTGGTTGCCTAAAACTGATAAGAATAAATCATCTTGGAAGTAGGGCCACTCTACTACTCATGAAGACAAGTCTTTTCTTTTTAACAAGCATGACTTGAAGAAAAATAGCTTGAATCTTGGCGACACCCATTCCCAGCTTCTTCCTATAGCTCCATTCTCTTGCTCGACTTCAATTAATCTCAACTGTGCAAGCACAATGATAACCTTGTATATGCAGACGATGATGGTGAACTGCTTCTCAGAAACTGGTTAAGGACTACTTGATGAGATGGCGAAATTATGCAAGGTAGGGGTAAAGATAAAGCCTTTCGGCGATTCATGGCCTTTAATCTGGATTTAGTTACATTCCGACTTTTCTTGATGCATTACAAGTTCTGTTCCAATTTAAGCAGAAAATAATATCTCTTATCCCAAAGGAAAATGAAATGACATTAATGTTTTCCACATAAAAAATTAATCAAAAACATGCGAACTCAAAAGTAGAAAAAATATAAATTAAGTAAATTAATTAATACAATATATATATATATATATATATATATATATATATATATATATATATATATATATATATATATATATATATATATATATATATATATATATAAGCTACATACATTATTTTGCTGGTTAGGTCGGGTGTTGTTCTTATCCGATTTATCTTCTTGATCATCATCAGTTAAAAATTCACGTTTTGGATAAGGTATTGCAAAACCAGCAAAAACGCTACAAAAGAAAATATAAAATCAATATCTTTATTCATATTTTATAAGTATTATAGGCATGTCCAATTTCTATACTATGATAGACCACATTAAGACAAAGTTGATTTTTTATAATAAAACTACATGAAAATGTAAAAAATATAAAAATGTTCAAATGAAACTTAGGAGTGTTTGACAGAGAACAGTTTCTATTTTTGGCAAATAGAAATAACCAATTTTAGTATTTATTACTACTAGTTAAAAAAAGGAAAAGTTCCGTTTCCCCCAAAATATGTTTATATTTAAAAAAAGAATTATGACAATAATGAAAACATCACAGAATTCAATATATTGAGGAGAAGTTGGTGTTTTTACTAATAGAAACAAGTCAAGTGGATGTGGCAGAACTTCTATCATATAATTCCTTCCACTGTCATATCTCTCTTTTTTCCTATCAAGAGAAAAATTCTAGAAACTCATTTTGAAACGCCTGTAACCCAACCAAATTTTAATAACAACATCTCAGATGACCAGTTTGGGTACTGAACACTGTATAATTGAAATTGTCTCCTCTGCATAAGAGCCTATAATGTACTGCACAGGAGTCTTTCTCGATGCAGCATAGGCTTTTGATCAAGTTTGGAACCTAGGCCTGCTTTACAAACCCTGTAAATTCCTACCTCTAACAAACTATCTCATCATCCATTCCTACCTCACTGATAGATGATGTAAATCACAACAGCGCCTATTCGCCCCTGTTCTCTCAGTCTGTTGGTGTTTCTGAAGGAAGAATCATAAAGCTGACATTTGAATTCATCCCACCACAGTTATCACCACATATTCTGATGGCATGTGTGTTATCAATGAATATTGATGCATTAATTGCATCCCACACTGTTTAGTCACATATCACAAGCCTTAGAGAATGATGTCAAAACTGGACGATTAAAATAACTTACAAATCACCTTTATCATTCATTGTAAACTTACGACTTCTTGTCCTTCAGCATTCTTAAACATTTATCCCCATTGAACAGATCCACCCTGATGTCTTACATGAAATCCTCTCACAAGACTGAAACAAAAAGAAACTGCTCGGCATTTCCAGCTGCTTCAAAACTCTTTAGACAAGCTTACAATTGATTATAAAAGGCTGATTTACTTGACTAAGTAAGGGCTACTTAGATACAAGGAGAACTTATTAAGTTGAGCTTAGTAACTCTACTAAACCATCAAATTCCTCTTGTATCTCATCCTTGCAATCCTTTAAAAATTCTCAACACTCATAACTTTTTCCACATATAATTATCCATAACGACTTAATTGTTCCTTAATATGTTACCAACTTGGTCCAACCCAGATATCTACAATTCCATGATAAACTCCAAGCCCATCAGACAATAGTAGTTTCTAACCTCACTTCCTCTACGATACCTGATAACCCTTCTGGGTGTCTGAAAAGAAGTTACTAAAGGATTGCTATCAATGAACATTCAGCATTTTCTTTACAAGTTTTTCATCATATTAGCATTATATAGCTCACATGAACTAGAAGTATTTTTGTTTTAGTATAGTTTTACACTTCAATAAATCAAAAATGTTTAACCTAACTTTATTACAGAGATGGTCATATTTATATTCAAAAATATAAATATGAATACCATTTATATTCATAAAAAGTAATATGAATACAGAAGATACGTATTCACGGCTGTATATATATGTAAATATATTATAGTATTCACGATTGTAAGAGTGAATACGGCTGTATTTACACCTGTAAAAGTGAATACGGCTGTATCCACATTTACTAAAATGAATACGTTTAAATTTACAGAAGTGAATGGAAATATTTTCACAAAATCTTATTAATGAATACTCTTATTTATTTTTTAAAAAAATGTATATATTTTAAACATATATATCATTTTATTTTTATATATAGTATTATATTTTTTCTATTACAATATGTTATGTTAATTATCATTCGTAATGTATGTATGTAATTTACGTTGTATTTCTGGAGATTCATTTTCTACCTGTATAAGCATTTTTATTTTTTTCTCCTTTATTCATTTATCAAATTCTTTCAAAAGTTACATTTAGCATTTTTTCGTAACTTTTAATAGTGAGAAGTAGTTGATTATTTAAAATAAACCATATTAAAGGGTACTTTAGAGGAAGACGCATATGAACATTGGGCATTTAAGCCCTGTAAAGCAGAGATGTTTACTTTTGGGCTGCTAATGGCAATAAATATAAGTTTAATGGACTGCCAGGGTAGGTACAACACTAGGAATGATACCCTGGAAATTCCATCGGGGAATACGTGTACACGACAGACTTAAGTTGAAGCAAGGAAAGGAGCAAGAGCTGTCAAATTTGAATAGTGAGCTTTCCGGACCTGCCAATCAGTGTGTAATGTGGATATATTTGTTAATGTGGTAAGGTTTGCATACAGAACAATGTATGAAGTTGATAGCGAAACTGAGTCTGCAGGCTCTTGTAATCTGGGTGGTAAGGTTTTTATTTCAAGTTTTTTCACGAGAGTACCGGCTCTTTATGCAATTCCAATATTCTCACCTACTCAGAATTTTTATTGAGGGGAGGGAGGAAGGCGTTGCCCGAAGAATATAATACTACATATAAAAATAAAATGGTATATATAGTAATTTTTTTTTTAAATAAATAATTTAATAAATACAATTTTTTTAATAAATAAGAGTATTCATTAATAAGATTGTGTGAAAATACTTGCATTCACTTCTCTAAATTTAAGCGTATTCATTTTAATAAACGAGAATACTGTCGTATTCACTTTTACTAGTGTAAATACAAAGACTCGGGAATTTATATTACCCACAAACATTACAATTAACATAACATAATACCTTGTAACATAATTAAAATATATTGTAAAAGGATGAATATAATACTAAATATAAAATAAAATGATATATATAGTTAATCTATTTTTTTAAATAAATAATTTAATAAATATAATTTTTTTAATAAATAAGAGTATTAATTAATAAGGTTGTGTGAAAATATTTGCATTCACTTCTGTAAATTTAAGCGTATTCATTTTAGTAAACGTGAATACTGCTGTATTCACTTTTGCAGGTGTAAATACAGCAGTATTCACTTTTACAATCGTGAATACGGCCTTATTTATATTTACAGCCGTGAATACATATCTGCTGTATTCATATTACTTTTTATGAATATGAATATATTCATATTTATATTCATTTGTACCATAAATATAAATGGTATTCGTATTTATATTTTTGAATATAAACATGCCCATCTCTGCTTTAGTATTAAATTATGCCTAATGACAAAGCCTAAAACAACTAGATAGAGCTAGTCTTAACAGCAATGTTTTATGAATTTACCACAATAAAAATAGTAAAGAAAAATAAGGAAAGTTATAATAAAGTGAAAAACTGACTCCTGAGTTGGAAGAGGTTCTTCTTGAAAATATGGATCCTGCATTGCTATTTCTGAGGTGATTCTCTTATTAGGATCCATCAACAACAGTTTCTGCAACTAAGACAGTACATGATAAATTTTTAAATCTTAAGATTAATTAAAAAAATTAAAGAAAATAAATAATTAGTGAAATATGCCTCACCAAATGGAAGGATTTACTATCAGGTTTGATTTTATGCCGATCCATGTATTTAACTAAGGAACAGTTGGAATAACTGAAATGAAATAAAATAATAATGACAAAAAAGCTCATAGAATCAATAATAATAAACTGAAGTTTAATTTAACTAGAATTAGAATAGAATAGGAGAAAAGACTAAAATAAAGTCTTTTAAGAATAATGCGAGTGTTTAAAAAAATTAAGATTATTTTTGGACAAAAGACTATATAATCATCTTTTAAAGTATTTTATCATATTTTTTAAAAATTGAAAACAAACAATTTAAATTGCAGTAAATGTTTTAATTATCAATGTTGTACCAAACACCAAATGTCTCCCTAATAAAAATATTTTTTCCCACTCTCACAATAAAACTTAGGCAGAAACAACATAGAAATTAGATTAATTAATTCCAATCAACATTAAAAAACAGTATAAATATATTAATTCAATGTACTTACTTTGATCTTTTGAAATCTTTTAATAAAGTAGGATGTTCAGGCATTTTTCTGATATCTTCCCAGTCTTTTTCCAATGGGAAACCCATAACATTGAATATCCTAGTTGCAAAACAAAAGACAAAAAAAAATAAAAATCTAATTAACGTACGTACATATTTATCTAACAAAAGGAAATTTAAAAAAATATTTTTGACAATTAAACATACGTGAAATGATTCATGTTTAATTGTTTATTCTTTTTAATGTAAATCATATGTATTAAAGCAAAAATTATGCCATTAAACCTTCGAGTCTCGTATTTAATGAATTTATACTCAGCCAAAGCCATTGGGGTTATCCTAGTAATAATAAAATAATAATTCCAACATTTACTGTAAACAATGCTATCACTTTTTTTTTCTCTTCATGTGCAATAACACAACTTTAACTGATTTTGTCTATGAACAGAATTGATGTTATCAGTTTCTGAAAACTAAGGAGGAGTACTCTTCATATAATCTAAAGTCAAACTTGAATTAGTAACTTTATTTAATAAAAACATAAATAAATAAAAGAAGTTCTGTTTCTCGGCCAATAGTTATTGAAAGAGGTCATATTTCACAAAGCTGAACCGCCAAGACAGATTTATCCCTCATTCTGATAGAGATTAGATTATCTATTAGATTTTAAATAATTAACAATGAAGATTAAATGAGTATATTGATTGAAAACTGTTTATAATAATAATCAATTGAATATATTGACAGCCACACTGCAAAAACAAAAACTAAAAATTTCTAGGAGACGAAAAAACTGTGATTTTTGTTTTATGGTAAGCAGTGCCGGCCTCAGAGCAGGGGAACCCAAGCATTTGCCCAGAGGTGCCGGGCATGAAGTAACCGACATTTATTACAAATTTAATAAAACAATACAAATTGTATGATAAAAATTAATTTTAGCCTATTAGTAAAGCTTTTTATTACATTTTTTCGCTAATGACACAATATATATAACCTTCACTGTAACTAACAGTTTTATACATCACAATTTGCTGGTTTTTACAAAAGGCCACACAGAAGAAATGGAACATCGTAGATTTTTTTTTTTAATATGCCCCAGTACAAGATTGACCAGAAAAGTTCAAAACCTCATTGTCCGTACAGGCTTTTACAGTGTGGCTGTCAATACATTGAAAATCATATGTTTCAAAAATAAAAAGATACAAAGAAAACAAAATGTATGAATATTATATGACATATCCCACTTCTAAAACAATTATCTTCTTGAAGTTGTCTGATGATCACGAAATTGCTCATCACGTATTTTTAGTATTTTCCCTACTGCATCAACTAATTAGGTTAATATTCCATCTTCCTAAATGTTTGTTACCCAAACAGTCTGACATGTACTAAAATTTTTACAACAAGCCCTATTACCACTCAGCTTCTTTTGAGTAACTTTTAGTAGTGTTAGAGGGACCCCCATATCAAGAAATAGACTTGGTTTCATCAAATTGAAATGAATTAGCAACTTAAGCGTAAGCAGAATTTTTGTAGGTGTTCTGTTAGTTGCTTAATCCGGTGTCATTTAATGATCAAAATGGAATCTCATTTCATGAATGAGAAAGATATAAAAAGAAAAAAGAAATTTTATCCAAGTCTATTTTATCATTCTTTAGAGCCAAATGATGTTTTTGATATGTTTTATAATACTGAAAACACAAAAATGTTTTAAAACATCTGGTGTGAATTGAGGTCCATTATCAGACAAAATGACTTTGGATAGACCAAACCTTGAAATAATTTCTTTGGACATATTATTTAACAAGATTACTTCTAACCACTTGGAGGTTGCTACCACAAGTACAAACCAATTTTATTTTTATGCAGAGCAGCATAGTCTTTATGAATTTTTGATCAAATTTCATTAGTTATAATCCATGAGCAAAATGACAGGTCTGGATCAGCTGTATGATTTTCTAGACAACTTTGGCATTATATACATAAACAGCAGAGTACACGCACCAATATCAGAGTTGCCTCAAGGCTAACATACATGAAACGAGCGATAATGAACCAAACATTACTTGCTTGCTTAGTGTGCAATACTTCTTAATGTAACGTGCTTAATAAATGCTGTAAGGGAATATAACTCACCTTGTTTGGCTGGAAATGGACAAATGGAATTTTGAATGACTAAGGCTCTATATTGGCAACCAGAGATCCCTTTGCTTGTCAATAGACCTGGCTCCACAAACCCGCAGTCAATTTTAAACCTTTCCTCATACTACTCCCAGTCTTCTTCTTATAGATCGAAAGGAGGAAAATAAAATTTCAGCAACACAACAATTCTGTTATTATCTGTTACATATGCCATATCTAACCGATTTACATTATTAGCCAGCCAATCCCAGAGTTGATAATTGTTGATATGATCTACCACAGCTGATCTATAAAACTGAGTTTAAGTCCAAAACCTTACCCTTTATTTTAATGATAAAATGCTAATTTATTCATACATAAATTCACAGTAATTTTATTTTTTTATTGAATATTATTAGTTTGTTTTTAAAAAATTAAAAATATTAATCATGCTAATGGTTAGCTTCACAGATGTAAGTAAAAATTTATAAAATTGGTTGAAAATCTAGTTCCCTATAAATGTTATAAGTGATCAAATATATATACACAGATAAACCAATATACAAAAAAACAAAGAGAATTAATAAATAAAAACTCTTACAAAAGATAGGTGTGAAATTGCCTTTTCCTTCTCGAAAGATCTATGATACAATATAAAATGAAGTTTATGTTACTGAACAACAAAGTGGTTGAAAAAAAAAATGAGGAGAATAGATGGATTGGGAGTAAAAGAAATAAAGAATCATGATTGAAGTCTTGCTTTCACCTTTCAGTTACTAAGCATATTCAATCATTCCTACCCAGTACTTTTATGAATACCTATCTAATTGATCATGGTGATATGGATTGCTAGTTTTGATATCTTCCTGTCTGCAATGGAAGATAGGTTCTGATGTCAACAGCTCAGCAAATATACAACCAATAGCCCAGATATCTGTAAAAGAAGATTAAAATTATTTATATAAAATGATAATTACAAGTATATTAATATTCATCTGAAAAAGTATCTATTCACATTCTAATTAATAACGTAATAATGGAACATAATTACTGAATGCCAGTTTATTCTTGGGTGATAACTATTCAGGACGCAATCATTATAAGGTTTTTATTAATGCCAACGTTTCAACCCAGTTTTGTTTCAAACATGTGGGTCATCATCAGGGCGTGGTTTGAGCAATGAAATATTCAAGTACTCCAGAATTGAGTACTTGAATATCTTGAACGTCAGCACTAATAAAAACCTTATAATGACTGCGTCCTGAATATTTATCCCCCATGATGTGTAGAACAGTCGACTAACTTCCTTCCATAATTCACTAGTTTATTTATATTCTATTTTAATTATATAAACATTAACATGTAACTAATACTTTATTAATATGCAATAAACTTCATTAATCATTAAGAAAAAGATGAAATTCCTACAATAATTTACTTTTTAATGGCTTAATACACGCCAACCTATCAACCTATTCTACACCAACAAGGTTTGATATGGTATTCATCCAGTAAAAAAAAAAAAAATGAGGGATTTACTTTTTATTTATTTCTTCTTTCATCATAAGAACACTTATTTACAGTTAAAACACTAATTTAGACACCTTGAATTTTTTATTCAAAATAGGATTGGAATCAAGCACTTACAGGATATCCGGGGGAAAAAAAGTGCATTATGAGAAAGAGTACTTTTATTTTAATAGACTGCAAGATCTAAACTTCGATAAAGTCTTGGATGACTTTTGGCTAAACCTGATAACAGTCCAATTGGAATCAGTGAACAAAGTTTGTAATGTGAATAAAGTATCAGACAAAAGAATAGGTTCAGCGTAATGGACTGAAAAGCTTAGGGTTATCATAAGGGAGTAGAAGAAAATCTGGAAAATGTATTGTATGGAAAGAGGCTAGAGTAACTATGAGTTGTACAGACATACAAGAAAAAGAGTGAAGTTGAAGAACGGGAATCTTTGAAGGCTAAGAACAATCTTATAAAGAAGGTTCTCCTTGCTTTTGCTTTGGTCGGCCTTTACTGATGAAGCTGTTAGTAAAAAGAAGTAAAGATATACTCTCACAACACTTAAAATTTGCGGATGATTATTGGAAGACCAGCCAATGCACTCCTAGAAGCTTTCAAGGAGTGTGAAAAAGTTGCAAGGAGAACAGAAGTTATAATTAATAAAGGAACAACTAAATCATTAAAAATATATGATAACAAACTGGGAAGAAAGAGGGAATTGATATATTGAGGAGGTACAATACGGCTACAAGAGAGTACCAAACTTTTAGTATCTAGGCACTATTATAACTGAGGATAATAATGTAAGAGAATAAAGAAAGGCAAAGGTATTGATAACAGCTGGTAATATGTGAAATTGGTCTCGGATAAAAATATCAGGAAATTGTGATATATTCAGAGCTCTCAAAATAAGAGTTTACTAGATGATCCGGAACTAGATGGAAAGTGGTAGGCTCCCTAAAATAATGGTGATGGAAGAGGGGAATGGAGAAACAGAGATAGATTTAGACTTCACTGGCTGCATGATGTTGATTGTAGAGTAAAATTATTGAATGTTGAGTGATGAATGATGAAACCAAGATAAGGTTTGAGGGAAGGAAGCAAAAGTTCTGCAAAGACAATAGTTCCAATGGGCATTAAATAAATAAAAAAAACAAAGGCATGAGACGCAGAGCTCCGTCACTAAGGTTCTATTTTTCACTTATTTTTAATTTTAAAAACACATAACTTTTACTTCCTGTCAACTTCCAATAGAAATTATTTTCTGGCCATGTTGGACTATTATAAAATTTTTTAATTGTATTTTTGAACGACCTAAAGCTAAATGATTACAGCTAACAAATCTAAAATACCATTAAAAAAACAAATAATCAATAGATTATGGATTGTACGACTATTAGTTATTAAACGGTTATTTTACACAGCAAAGTTTACTAAAACGGAATTAAGAGATTTGCATTGTCTGTCATCAGAGTTGGGCATTTACTCGAGTAAATGTCGAGCAGTGACGTCACGAGTGATCACTCTTGGAAGCTTAGCCATGAGTAATTTTGAAAATTACTCGTGAAATATTTTTCCTTCATGAGTAAATCACTCGTGAAAAATGTTATCTCCATGAGTAAATTACTCATGAAAAATTTTAACGCCATGAGTAATTTTGAAAAAAAAATGTTTTTATTTTATTTAACCTAATTTTTTTTTTCACCTTTCCGATTTATTCAATATCGGGGTCGACATATATGTTTCGGGGGGCGCTTTTTATGAAAATGATATCCAATTTGAGATTGGGCCCCCCCGCCCCCGTTTTTTTTTAACTTTTGGGATTAAATCGATATCAGGGTCGACTTATAGGTTTTGGGGGGCGCTTTTTATGAAAATGATATCCAATTTGAGATTGGCCCCCCCGGCCTCGACTTTTTTTTAACTTTTGGGATTAAATCGATATCAGGGTCGACTTATAGGTTTCGGGGGGCGCTTTTTATGAAAATGATATCCAATTTGAGATTGGACCCCCCCGCCCCCGTTTTTTTTTAACTTTTGGGATTAAATCGATATCAGGGTCGACTTATAGGTTTTGGGGGGCGCTTTTTATGAAAATGATATCCAATTTGAGATTGGACCCCCCCGCCCCCGTTTTTTTTAACTTTTGGGATTAAATCGATATCAGGGTCGACTTATAGGTTTCGGGGGGCGCTTTTTATGAAAATGATATCCAATTTGAGATTGGACCCCCCCGCCCCCGTTTTTTTTTAACTTTTGGGATTAAATCGATATCAGGGTCGACTTATAGGTTTTGGGGGGCGCTTTTTATGAAAATGATATCCAATTTGAGATTGGACCCCCCGCCCCCGTTTTTTTTAACTTTTGGGATTAAATCGATATCAGGGTCGACTTATAGGTTTTGGGGAGCGCTTTTTATGAAAATGATATCCAATTTGAGATTGGACCCCCCCGCCTCCGTTTTTTTTTAACTTTTGGGATTAAATCGATATCAGGGTCGAATCTTATGTTTTGGGGGGCGCTTTATATGAAAATCATTTCGGATTTGAGATTGACAGTTTTGGGGCTTCCCCCAAAACATAAGAGTCGACCCTGATATCGATTTAATCCCAAAAGTTAAAAAAAGTCGAGGCCCGGGGGGCTCAATCTCAAATTGGATATCATTTTCATAAAAAGCGCCCCCCAAAACCTATAAGTCGACCCTGATATCGATTTAATCCCAAAAGTTAAAAAAAAACGGGGGCGGGGGTGCCCAATCTCAAATTGGATATCATTTTCATAAAAAGCGCCCCCCAAAACCTATAAGTCGACCCTGATATCGATTTAATCCCAAAAGTTAAAAAAAAACGGGGGCGGGGGTGCCCAATCTCAAATTGGATATCATTTTCATAAAAAGCGCCCCCCAAAACCTATAAGTCGACCCTGATATCGATTTAATCCCAAAAGTTAAAAAAAAACGGGGGCGGGGGGGCCCAATCTCAAATTGGATATCATTTTCATAAAAAGCGCCCCCCAAAACCTATAAGTCGACCCTGATATCGATTTAATCCCAAAAGTTAAAAAAAAACGGGGGCGGGGGGGTCCAATCTCAAATTGGATATCATTTTCATAAAAAGCGCCCCCCAAAACCTATAAGTCGACCCTGATATCGATTTAATCCCAAAATTTAAAAAAAAACGGGGGCGGGGGGGCCCAATCTCAAATTGGATATCATTTTCATAAAAAGCGCCCCCCGAAACCTATAAGTCGATCCTGATATCGATTTAATCCCAAAAGTTAAAAAAAAACGGGGACGGGGGGCCCAATCTCAAATTGGATATCATTTTCATAAAAAGCGCCCCCCAAAACCTATAAGTCGACCCTGATATCGATTTAATCCCAAAAGTTAAAAAAAAACGGGGGCGGGGGGGCCCAATCTCAAATTGGATATCATTTTCATAAAAAGCGCCCCCCGAAACATATATGTCGACCCCGATATTGAATAAATCGGAAAGGTGAAAAAAAAAATTAGGTTAAATAAAATAAAAACATTTTTTTTTTCAAAATTACTCATGGCGTTAAAATTTTTCATGAGTAATTTACTCATGGAGATAACATTTTTCACGAGTGATTTACTCATGAAGGAAAAATATTTCACGAGTAATTTTCAAAATTACTCATGGCTAAGCTTCCAAGAGTGATCACTCGTGACGTCACTGCTCGACATTTACTCGAGTAAATGCCCAACACTGTCTGTCATAGACAGATCAAAAGTTGTCACACTAATTGTAAGTCGATACTGTAGGGATATCGCAAAAGGAAAATTCATCAAATTATACACCAATTTAATTTTCTAAAAAGTTTACATTTAGTAAGGAAATTTCATTTCATTACTTTTTACAATCAAATATTTTTTTTAACAATACCATTGCGTTGATTTGGTGGATTTTAAATATTTTTTTCAAACTTAAAAAAAGTTTACATTTAGTTAGAAAATTTCATTTAATTTCCTTGAAAACATATGATTTACGTTAAATATTATTAGTTTTCCAAAATTATTATTTATAATTTTTGGCCACCCTCCGCTCCCTTCTACAACTTTCTATATTAGATATGTTTTTTTCTGAAATTCTCCACTTTCCAACGTTATATTATACCTATCCTTTTGACTAGTATTTCGGGCGATTCATTTTCGACCTGTTTAAACATTTTTTTTTTTCTCCTTTATTCAATTAGGAAATTCTTTCAAAAGTTAAATTTAGCATTTTTTCGTAACTCTTAATAATGAGAGATTGTTAATTATTTAAAATAAACCATAATTAAGGTACTTTAGAGGAAGATGCATATGAACATAGAGCATTAAAGCCCTGTAAAGTGACATCAACAGAGAAAAGACCAAAATGGTATTAAAGACCACTTAATTATACAATGATACATAGAATTTAATCAAAATCGTCAGAGCCGTTTTTGAGAAAATTGTAAAAATATGTTTTACCGTTGATATAAAGTGGCACTTCCGATTAGCCGATTTTAAGGAAAAATAATTACGATATTAACATTGGATATCCGAAAAATACAAAAAGCATTAAATCTTTTGTTGATATTATGGTCATTTGAAAGTATACTAAATTACCTACAAAATAAAAAAAAATCATTAAAATCGGAAGATCTAAGTTCTAAAGCATACCATTGTTTTGTATTAATGAAACTGTAGAATGGATCTTTGTAGTTACTGGCCGGATTTAGATCAAAGTTTTTTTATCGTTTTAGAAATTTAAATGTCTTCAAAATATGTTCTGAATCAAAATGGACAAAAGGTGCACCCTTTTTGATTCGCAAATAATGTTTAGAATTTGACAAAATTCCTTTTCTAGTCCTTTTTCAAGAAAGTATGTTATATACATAAATTTATAGTGTTTCGTGGGAAATACTTTAGGACAGTTTGTATCAATATTGTTCCAGCCGTTTTAATGCTGTAGTCTATAAAGAAACAGGTTTTCCATCGCCATCTTGAAACAAAATGGTGGCTGGTGATGAGACCCCTCAAAAGCATCTCTCCAATGTCAGCTTAATATATTTAAACAATTTCGACCTTCCAACTTTGTTAAGAGGAGCTGTGGATATACTTTTACTACAGGAAAAAATGTGAAAAAAAGTTCTTACATGTCGAAATTTTTACAAAACTTTTCAAAAGTTTAATAGTATTGTTCTACCTGGGAAAAAACCCTAAATATCCAATTCCAGCTTATTCGGTCAAACTGGGGCCACTGGGGAAGCCGAAATATAGCAGGAAAAACAAATAAATATATACATAAAACTGACATCTCTAAAAATTGCAGAATCGTGCTTCAGGGGTTCCGAAACGGATAGAAATCACACCCCTGCCTTCCACTGATGACTTTCGACAAAGTTGAAATGGTCTATTATTTCCGAAGGAAAATAGACAAAAACAAATCTCTATTATTAATTATCTTACAGGTTATTGTAATCATCATAATCATTATTCATAAGAACACAACCAAGACCTTACCTATGGCTTTGGTGTAATGCCTTGCGCCCAGTAACAGTTCTGGTGCTCGGTACCAAAATGTTACAACAACAGGATCAAGATCTGCTAAAGGTTTTAATGGAGCATTAAAAAGTCTTGCAAAACCCATGTCAGCTATTTTGACTCTTCCTCTTTCCGGACCTTCTCCCATCACAAGAATGTTGGCAGGTTTCTACATTAAAAAAAAGAAGTAAACAATGAAAAAAATTTAAGTTCAAAACATAAATTATGAAAAAATATTCTGTCATCAGTATCATGAATGAATCAAACAATAATTTCATTTTGAGACTAAAGTTCCCGAAGCTCAAGAAATATGTACATTAGTCTAGTACGTAGAAATAATACATATATACAAAATAAATCAAATCAAATGGCAATAGTCAATAAACTGTTAATGAGCAATTGGTGGTGGCATAGGAGTAATTTGAAATTAGTGGATGAGGATTGACATATGGAGATGGGGGAGAAGTTCCAAAAGGAGTTAGCATGAAGGAAGAAGGATTTGTTGAAGGAAGTGTGGTTTTATGGGAGTGGAAAAGGAATGCAAAGTAAGAAGTTTTAGGATGTAGGAAGGATTTTTGGTTCTGAGGACTTGAAAAAAAAAAAACACCACATTGGAATTGCCATCGGGAAGTAGGATAGAGCACTTCAAGACAGTGTACCAACAGAAAACATGAGAACGTCAGAGAACGATAAATCATATAAAGCAATTCATGAATCTTTTCAGTCTCATCTCCAGCCTCACAGACAACCCTCCATACACCAAGCAACTATTGTCGAATTGGAGGAAAACAAGAGAGGTTACAAGGAGCTGTTTGGTTATTGTTTTTTTTAGCCAGGGTGATAGCCGTTAAAGGTAATGTTAGAGATGGGCGGGCACACGGATGATCATCCTGGTCTAACTCATTAAAACTAATATTATTCCCATGAGGACAATACAGTGTTACCAATCTATTTCTACATACTTCCATCCACCAACTGTCATCTAAATCCATCCTCACAAGATCAGCCTTAACACAATCCTTCTACTTATGTCTTGATCTACTCTTTTAATGTTACCAGTCAGCTCAGAGCTTTAATCCTATTAGGGATTCATTCCGTGCTAATAAAATAATAAGGCTTACAATTTTACTTTCCACTGTTCTTTAATAAATTATCAAGTATTCAATATATTCAGGATGCTACCAGAAATTTTAATTTCATAATTGTTAAACATCTCATACCCCAACACTAAATGGTTCATAAGACTATAAAATGCTGTCCTAATAAGTTCTTAGGTTTTTGGTATCATTTATAATAGTCTCCGAAGAAGATCCTTCGAATATAAGGAAGAAATATTCATCATCATAATCCTGAGCTTTTTTACAAACCATAGCTGGATCTTAGTAGTCTCAAGAGTAGAGATAGTCCCATCATATTCCCGAGCAGCTTTGCACCAGTTCTCTATATTAAAAATTCTGGTATCAGCGATCACTTCATCTATCCATCTTAGCTTCAGTTTCTCGATTTTTACTTTCACTATATATGAAATATATAACAAAAGAAATTATTACGGTTGTAAACATTTTCAAATCTGAGTTTGCAACAGAAATACATGTTTTGACGTCCCCTGAGTCACAATTTTTCACAAAATCATGTGTCTTTATGTGAACAGTCTAGTTCAAATTAAAAAAATCGTACAAAATTGAAATTGCATATTTAAGATTTGTATTTCGCTGAAATGTTACAGCAAATTTTTCATCGAAATCGGCTAACATGAAGTCCCTCTTTATATCATTAATTTTACACAATTTTCTCGAAAACAGCTCTAACAATTTTGATTAAACCCATTCAGTCAATGAGTTATTTTTAATTTAAGAAAGATTTTATCCTGATTGATCCAGCGTGAAAGGGCCTAAATGGTAAATTTTCAAAATTTCATCATCTAAAGTAACTCTAACTAATTTTATTTATTTGAAATAATTAATTAATAAACTATGAAAGAATTTGATAATTAACTAAAGATAATATATGGGATCGTAATAGAGGAGCGAACAACACCTCATTTAGGCCAAAATATTAGAATAGACCTCCAACCGTAACAAATGCTTAATACGGGCTCCAATATTATATACGTATACAAGTGCAATTTTCATTAGTATAATTTAATATTTAATTGTATAGATTACAGCAATATAAAAATTAAAATTTGTTGATACAGCAGTCTTTAAAAAATAAAATATTTTGGGGCACTTAATTATTTTAAAAAATTGAATATATAATTTACAGCCATAAAAGAAAAGGGTTACTTATAAAAAAAAAAAAAAAGCATAAACATAATGTTAGACGGCTGAGAAAAACATATGGTAATTAATAGTTTTAAGTAATATGATGTACAATCTGAAATTTATAATTTCACTTCCCTTTGTCTAAAGACACATATTTCTGCTAAAAGAAGGGTGGTAAGTGAAAGTTGTGTGATGTACGCACTGCACCAGATTTTTCTTTATCCACTGGTTCCATGCTGAACAATATCTATGGGGTTGAGGTTTTGTTCGAGGTTACCCACCCATCTTATTCTTGCTGTCCGAATATGATTCATATTCATATCTGGCTCCTTGAAAAAGTTGGTTAATCTATGGTTTTCTTATTCTCCTTTACTCGGTCAAATATCTTTTGAAATCTAATTTAAACAAGTAGTTTTCTCTTACTGGTTGCCCTTTATCTCAGTTTGTAAAAGGTTTCATCCATAACCAAACAATTTGGTGATTAAGACACATATTAATTATAAAAGATATTTATTGTTTTTAAACACAATTTTGGACAACAGTAATTCATAAGACTAAACGTAAAAATAATTTTTTTTAACACTAAAATAAAAAATTATATTAAAAGCTAAATCAAATTAATCTTTACCAAATCCCTGTGCAGAACCCAATTTGAATGGAGATAGTGGATTCCATCCAAAATTTGGTACAATAAGGACTTCACCATTCCCTTAGGTACCATTACTGGTTTTTTATTGGCTTTGGCAGCCCGATGGAACTTTATTATATGCTGAAAAAAAAAAAAATGAATAAATGGTTGTTGAAATATAATTTAAAAGACTTTAATTGAAGGTTACATTATGTTATGAAGTTTTGTTAATATGGGTATTTCTAAACTCACCACTGACCTCATCAATGGCATTGTTTCATCCAGTTTAGAAACTTACCCCTATTACTTCTGCTTTGCTAACAGTTGGTAATAAAAAAATTAAGAAATATTATTAAAGATACATAACCTAGCACTGTAATTATTATGAATGAAAAATATTTAATACTACAAATATGAAATCATTTATGCAACAAAACAATGGTGTATGGTAGGATCTTAAAATAATGTCTACAGTAAGTATTGAACTCTAATGGACAATAACCAATTTTTATAGTTTAAAAGATAACGAATTAAGAAGGAAGAAAGTGGACTGTTCCACATATCATGGGTGATAAATATTCAGGACGCAGTCATTATAAAACTTTTATATTTGTGCCAATGTTTCAATTCAAACATGTGGGTCATGTCATCATCAGGGCTGAAAATTTTAAAATACAATCAGAGATATAATATTATACGACCGATAAAGGTAAATAATAAACTATAGAGATTGTTGGTACATGAATCTTAACTGTTATTAAAACACACAATATTAAAAATGAAATATGTAAAAAGTTATACAAACTAAAAATAATGTATATAATCTATATATTTAAAAATTAAATATTTAAGAATGTATACACGATTTGCATTGTTTCTTATGGTTACACAATTGTGCATATAGGCTAGTAATGAAATGAAAATAAGCATGAGGTGCCAATCAATACAAATTAATAGTTTAATTAAAGGTATATAATGTGTCAGTACTTGAAAGACTTCAGTGCTCCAACCACGGTTAGTAAGAGAAAATATTACAAATTTTAAGATGTACCATCAATCACTATAGTTTATTATTTACTATTATGAGTAACACTACAATATTATATCTCTGATTGTATTTTAAAATTTTCAGCCCTGATGATGACCCACATGTTTGGATTGAAACGTTGGCACAAATAAAAGTTTTATAATGACTGTGTTCTGAATATCACCCTTAAAAAATAGCGATTAATTTAATTTTGTATAGTTTATACTTTATTGGTAACCAATGAATACGCCTATGAGTTATTAAACTGTTATTTTCCATTGTAAAGTTTACTAAAATAAAATTACGTGATTTTCATTGTCTGCCATAGATAGGTTACATGTTTTTACACTAATTTTAAGCGGATTATGATTGGATTTCACAAAGGGAAAATTCATCAAATTATTCACTAATTTAATATTTTAAAAGGTTAGGTGACGATTTTTCAGAATAAACGAACGTCGATAGCTAATTATTTAAATAAAATATTGGACCTAGAGTTATTAAACTACAGTAAATGTATTTAAGGTTATAAACATGTGCTTTATACATCCATGAAATATTTTTATATTTCGCTGTTTCTTTTACATAAGTACTATGAAATAATTTTTTTAACAATGCCATTACCTTGATTAGATGGATTTTAAATACTTTGTTTCAAATTTAAAAAAAAGTTTACATTTAGTTGGAAAATTTCATTTAATTTCACACACATTTAGTTTGGTTTAGTTCGGAAACTCATATATGGAATTCAATGCGTTCCTTTAATCTTCCATTGTATTACTCAGCCTCAGCTGATTATAACTCCAGTGTATTGATTGTTCAATTTACTTTACATTTTTATTAGTTTACCTCCTATAATTTTTTTTTTTTCAAAATAACTCCTTACTTCGCTATTATAGAATATGGAGAGGTTATTCTAGAGATACAACAAAACCTATTCTAACCAGAGTGGGAAGATTGAGATTCATTGTGGGGGTCTGCAACAAAATAAATATAACAGCCCAATGCAGATTTAAACTGATGCCTCTGGACTAAAACGGGCATCACTCTAATATGCTCGATCTTTTTTACTTCCTATCTACATTTAGTTTTGAAATTCAATAATTCAGTAGAAAAATACTATTAAATTTATTATGTAGTAATTTTCCTGGAGTGATAATCTTTCATTGGAATCAAGCAGGAATTATTTCTGAACCCTTTGACCAGACGGGATACATGCCTTCTTGTTAAGAGTTAGTCACTGGTGCGGACAGGATATATGCCTTCCCGGTAATGAATTGGGTCACTGGTGCAGCTTGGTCAGTGCATTCATTAGTCGGCTGTTGCTAACTCAGTGCAGTCGTTCTGGATTCTGACCATTAGGAAGCTATCAGTTGCAGATTTATTCTGAACCTAAGGTATGTTCTTTCTCTGTTATTTGTGTCATATCCATGATCTTATTTATATTACATTTAAATGTTTCATATATAAATTTTAATAATTTAATCTTATATTTCTTTTTTTTATTTTTTATTTTGGTATTGACTGGATGCTGAGTTTGGAACACTTGAATCTCTGTCTACTAAACAAATAACTGTAAGTTTCTACATTTTATATATATATATATATATATATATATATATATATATATATATATATATGTATAATTTTTTTTTTTTAAATGTTATAATAAAAATTAATAAGTGTAAAAATATACAGAATTAAAACGATGCTTTAGTTGTTTTATCATTTTTCCAACCATCTAAAAACAATAAATATATATATATATATATTTCTAATGATGTAGAGATGGTTGACCGTTGATATAATATGAGAAGGAGTTGATCGGGGTGTGCGGTCAAATTAATACTAAATTAAATAAGTAGAATTATATAATTTTGCCGACGTTTCGACCCACTTTGTAGGTCTTCATCAGGGCTACAAAAGATACAAAACATGGTAAAAATAAATGAATATAAGTATAATATGATATCACACTAATGTTATCCTTTTAATCTTTCAATATTTTTACTTCTTAACATTCAGTCCCGTTTTCTATTTACTTACAGTTATCAAATATAACCTCCACTAGCTTGTTATCCACTGATATCTTATTAATATGTTATCTTATTCTTATTTTAGCTTTACTTTATCAATACTTATTCAATTTACAATCTATTTATTCATTAATATTCATTTTCTTTATATGTTAACCTACATTTATCAAATGTAATCTTTATTAGTTTGTTATACACTCATTCCTTATCTTTTATCGCAATCTGTTTACCTATAACTTACATGCTATATTCTCCTTTATTTTCTATTTTTATTCATACTTATTTTCCATTTTTGTTTGTATCTTCTACATATAATACTTGATATTTTAACTACATTGTCACCCACTATATCTCTGATATCATCTTTTAGTTCTGTATCAGACAACTTATTCTTATTTTATATCTACTTATATTCATTTATTTTCACCATGTTTTGTATCTTTTGTAGCCCTGATGAAGACCTACAAAGTGGGTCGAAATGTCGGCAAAATTAAATAATTCTACTTATTTAATTTAGTATTAATTTGACCGCACCCTCCGATCAACTCCTTCTCATATATATATTTCATATAATATAAAAGTGTTTGAAACTCAAAATAAATGTAAGTGCAATAAAAATTTTTATTACTGCGCTATTTTCAATATGGAACGTTTTAGGTAAGAAAATAATTGTAAACACTAAGAAATATATAATTCGAATCCCACCATCAGTGTCCTTTATTTAGAAAGGATATAATTTAATTTTAATGATTACTTAGTTATTTTTGTGATCATTTTCAGTTATTTTGCTTTTCAGAAATAAGCAAATGCGCAAGAAAACGAAGTCTTATTGCCGTTCTAATTTTGTATTGCTTTGTGCTGTCAGGAAGGCATATATCCCATTTTTTAAAAGTCGAATAAAAACATTAAAATGCATTTTTGAAAGCTAAGATCTTGCAGGGTGACTGAAAATAATATTTTTAACAAATTTATGCATAAAAAAAAAAAACTTAACTCGAGAATAAGCTCCCGCAGTCAAAGGACTAAACTGAGTATAAATTGCTGCCCACCGGTGCTGGACTCAATTTATAGAAGGAATTAGAGCGTTTTAGGAATTTGCTCTTTAGATTATATCTACTTCATTGATAAAACTACTTCACTGGCCCTTTATTCAGCAAAAATGGCAAAGATTTGAGACTTTTAAAAAGATCTGTAAAAATTTCACCAAGAATGTTCTTTGATCACGCTCCTCAATATGATGAAGATTAACCATTCTAGGACTAATCAGAGATGAGTCAAGTAGGAATAAAATGCAACATGTAAATATTTAAGTAACTCTTTATAAAACTTTTCAAAAGTCAACATAGCAAACAATCATCCAACATTAGAAAAACAACAACAACAGATAAAGAATGGTGGTAATTCCAATACATTCTACATATCTATGATAATTATAATACATTCTATTAATACAAAAAAATTTGAAAATCTGATACCAACCCACAAATCGTGTTCTGCATAATCAAAAAGTAACCATACTTTTCGATCATTATGAGATAGAAACACTCTAATTAGATTGATTACATTGGGATGCCTCAGTTCTCTAAGTAACTAAAACAAACAGAATATCATAATCAATTGTTGATTTTAGCATTTTAGAAGTTCATAAAGAAATAATAAGTCCTAAGATATTTTTGTTTTCAACTCACAGCTATCTCTCTACAAGCTGACATGGAAAGACCAGTGCCTTCAATTTGCTTAAGTGCATAATCCTTAGTATCTGACCTAATCAAATACAAAGTGATTTAAATAATTAGCTAACACAGGGATAGATATGTAGATTTCAAATATCTATATATAAAATGTTTTCTTAGTATTACCCATCTTTTCTCCGGGCTTTGTAAACATGACCATAGGTGCCTCGTCCAACCTTACAGCCTTCATAGTCAAATAAATCTTCAACTTTGGCACGCTCACTAGCAGTTTTCACTTTAAAGTCGAAGTCCATTTCGAAAAACAAAAATTAATAGCAAACATTAGTGCCCGGAATTAATGGACAGATACGCTTAACGTAATCACTAACCCACCTGGTAGGTTGCATTATAGCTTCTGCTAAAGCTTTAGCACAAGCTTAAATAAAGTGTATCGATATATACTCCTTTTTTTCTGTCATTTCATAAATATTTGCGACATATTTAGTAAAATCTAATTACTTCATAAAAGAGTAAAATAATTTTTATTTGATAAAATAAATCGTTTAAAGATTTTTATCGTAAAATTTAAATTTTACTATGATACTATCTGGCAGATGCAGATCCAGGATTTAATTATAGGGGATTTTTTTAAAATTTAAAATTAATTATAAATGTCATTACTCTCTACGCAAAAGAAAGAACCTATATAAAATGATGTTTAAGTGGTTCTTAAAGGCCTGTACAAAAATAAAATAATAAATTAAAAGAAACATTAATTAAATGGAATACAACTGTTTTTCTTGACTTGTGCAAATATTAGTAGCTTTATATACGTCATAATTTGAAAGAAGTACATGGACTGATGAAAAAAAAAAATCTATTTTGTGAGCTTCAGCCGGAAAGTCATCCTCCCTCCATAGATACGCCAGTGCTAGAATGTTATAGCATAGGATATTACAAGAAGGTCCTAAAGATGGTTCCATTCGTACAATTATTTTTTTTTTATTATTTATTTTCCACCCTCCCATGCCACCAGGGCAATACGGGTGTATGCAGTAGTGTTATGTTAAGCATTAATGCATAACAACACACTACTGCCATAATATCAGTTAACAAAATGCAAAGCTGTGTACACAGCTAGCTCTTTGACTTTTCGCCCTTCTACACCAAATTAGGCCTGGCTTCATAAATCCGGAGGTCTTCCTGGGACTGGCCCTCATCTCCTTCTGCGGTCACCACTAGCGGATCCAGGATTTAATTTTGGGGTGCTTCGACCCGGAAGCTTTTTTTTTTCATATATATAATCATAATTACCTTAGAAAAACAGAAAGATACTAACTACCTATATGAAATGGTGTTTAAGTGATACTTGAAGTCCTATTAAGTGTAATTAAACGAGCAATAATACTTTAAGACATAATTTTTTAATATTTTTTACCATAAAACATGGTCACATTTTACCATTTTGAGGGGGAGGGGAAGATTCAGCCCGAAAGCCTCTCTCCCCCCATAGATCTTCCTGTGGCGGGCACCTAGGTTGAAGTGAGCTCGACCCACCGCCGTCGTCCAGCCATTTATGAAATCTTTGAACCGCCGGAAGTTTTCTTCACTCACCAACTGAGGAAACTCCTCCTCAGTGAGGACGTAAATTCCCGTGGTTCTCATTAACCTGGCTCTTAACCCGTCGAAAGCAGTGCAGTCCGTGACCACATGCTCAACAGTCTCCGGAACACCACAAGTGTAGCAATGGGGATCTATATCCTGTCCGAGGCCATGAAGTTTAGCTCTGAAACCCCCATGCCCCGTGAGAAATTGCGAAACCCAATAGTCCATGAGTATCCATTTCGCTTGTAGATGAGATTCAACGGTAGTGAAGTATTTTCTTAAGGTAATGTCTTTCGAAGTCGTCAGCCACCGTCTGTTCCAATCTTCATTTGTTTCCTTCCTGATAATCGTTTTCCATTTATTTGGATTTTCAATAATTCTCATCCGTAGGTTCTCCGATAGACTTGTTGAGCCCTCACTCTTGTAATCGTATCTGGTCACTTCTTCTCGCAGGAGGAGGTCGAGAGGCACCACTCCCGCTAAGACCTGCACTGCTTCATACGACGTAGACCTATATGCTCTGGTGACCAGAAGCAGAGCAGTCCTTTGAGCCAGGAGGGCGAGGTGGCCGAATGGGCTAAAGCGTGTGCACAGCACCGCGAGTTGCCTGGCAACCGGATAACAGATTTGAGAAGATTATAAAAAGTACGAGTTCGCGCCCCGGTGCCGTAGGGGCCGCCCTCATCTCCCAGCTCGGGAAAATCCCGTATAGCCTAAAAGGCAAGGTAGGGAAGAACAGAAAAAAAAAAGTCCTCTGAGTCGATGCTAGCCTATTTCTTTGTCTGAGTGTGAGGTTTCGGAACCAGCAGGAAGACGCATACCTCAGGAAACCCTCCACTACACCATTATAAATAGTGATAGTGGCCTGATACCTGAGGCCCCAAAATGTGCCCCCAACGCGACTTAGATTGTTCATTGCTAGGGCCACCCTACCCGTCAGATATTCCAAGTGAGGCGTTATATTCAGGCCAACACCTAACCTAACTCCTAGGTAGGTTACACCTCACTTGGACGCACCCTCTGGCCTTCTATATAAATCGTTATAGAGTGTGCCCTATCAGTCTTTCCCTTAAGGAGGGTGAGTCTTGGCAGCAACCAACCTCATCCTTTTCCCCTCACACCATCTCGCGACTAGGTCGGCGCATCGCTCGGTTTCTCTCTTGACTCCAGCTCTGCTGTTGGAGGCTACCGCAGCAGCTAGGTCGTCAACGTAGGCAGTGGCAGGAAACCGATCTTCCTCTACTACTCCCATTCGTACAAATGGATCGATGTCCCATTGTTATTGTCATAACAGGTAAAACTAATCTAGATGAAATTAAGGATCAAACCATTCTATATGTTATCCATCATCTACAGGGCTCCTTTCACGGTCAATACTATTGAAACAATATAATTGAAGGCAAGATATTGTAGGGGTTAATTCTACCTCACACGGTAAATTAAATTGAATCAATATCACTTAGAATCTTGCTTCCAACAAGGAATTTTGCAAAGAGGTAATCTTTCTTTTCTGTGGAAATGAATAATAATGCATTTCTAATTACTTTAATTGCCTTGGCTTCAGTATTAAAAAAAAAAAAAGTGTTCTTTGTAATGTTTATTTTATTCCTAGACATTAAAACGTTTCTTGTTTCAAATTGGTTCTGTTCTTTTTTTTTTTTTTTTTTTTTTATTAACTTTATTTATTCACCCACACCTGTCATATGCAATGACAATTAGCGGGTCTGTTGTCGGTAAGTGTACAGGTAATGGCTTGATCGGCGTGATGGAGAGGAGTACCCAGCGGCATCCCTTCCTGTCTTGATTTTAGCATATTTTTAAGTGAGGAAATCCCTCATCCAGCTCCTTTTGAGCCTCCTAAGTATGTTTTCGGGCATGTTAAATGTAGCCATACTTTATACAAAGTATGGCTACATTTAACGACACTTATAAAGTGTGTTCTTGATTCCTAATTATTTAATATTTAAAAGAAAGTTGAATAATAAATAAAAAACTGTTATTAAATTTTGCATAAAAAGCATCATCCACCTAACCAAAGGTATTATTACCATTTTATCTTTAAAAAATAATTTCATGGAGGGGGGGGGGAGAGTTAACCTCCTCCTAAAAATAAATAATTAAAGTAAAACAAAATATCACCCACCTACCGAAATATATATACGTTTTATCTTTTAATTATTTATTTTATTATTTAATATTATATCTTTTAATATTATGGTTAAAATTATATTATTTATTTTGACAGTGTAGCTTCAGTCATTAAGAAAGGAATATAGAATATAGTTTAGAAATTTTAAAAACATTAACTAAAATAACAAGATTCAGATAAATGAAAACAAACATAATTACTTTAACCACATGACTTCTGTTTTAACTAAATAGCTTTTGAAAATATTCTCTCGTCGTTGTACATGCCACTTTTCATTTCGTTTGCTGGTGATATATAAATTTGGGTAATTACTGTGCTACTACCACTACTTGATATAAAACCATCTATTTGTCTTCTAAAATACCCTCTGCTGAGTACCTGTACAGTTCAATTATTTCTTTTAATTCTGGTGTATCTTTCAGAGAATGTTGTTCACGAGCTTTCTTGAAAGGAACATTCCAGTCGGTTCCAACCTGTAGTCGGAATTGTCCATCCCAAGTAAGCACTTCGTTCAGCTTCCTAAAGGCACGTAATTTTATTTCATTCTATTGCTGATGGCTGGGTGTTGTATTCTCTTGTCGCCAGTTCTTTGAAGACTAAAATTTTCTTTTCTTGATAGGTGACCTTTAACGGTATAACGTACCTAATACGTTGTCGAAGTTTCTAAACGAATTAGCCTTCAATGGAATCTATTGCTTACATGTTTCTGGGTTCTTGGTTTCTTTTACTGGCTCTGTTCGGAGTATAGTCTGTTTGCTGAGAGTCACATAATCTGATTTCATTCTACCTTCGAAGACTGTGATTTGTATTTCTATCATCGATCTTGAGTTTTAAGGTTTGTTCTATTCTTTGGAGAGAACGTAAGAATTGGTAAACAGATAATCAAGTATATATAAATTTTTATCAAATTCTATCCACTAATTTCGAAAATAAACTTCCCCTTTCAGATCATGAAATGTATTATTTGACAGGCCTGTAGTTCGATTTGACCCAACTTTAGGGAAATTCGGAGAATAGTATAGAAATTACTTAATAATTAAAATTAATATAACCAAGTGTTAAAAATATGATGGCTAAGAAATGTGGAAGGCATTGACCATATGGATTGAGGGTTAGGCATATACAATATTTTTATGAAGCTCAAAAAGTTACATTGTATTGTTTGGTCGATTTCAAACGTTACTAGCATACAACTTACTGCCGTTACATATATTTCATGTAATTTTCAGTAAATTTAAATTAATTTTCATGAAACATGAAAAATCACAAAACATTAATTCCTTACTTTACTGCTGAAAATCGAACCATTGTATATACAAACTTTTTTGTATTTATTGAATTCGGCTATCACTCCTTTAAATATTCTCTCTACTTAAAAGACACCCTCTATATGGGTTTCAACATGTAAAAAACTGAATTACTGACAAGAGTCACCAAGAGAAAACTTTTTACAGCCAGAAAATCCAGATTTATCTGATCTTTTTTTTTCATGTATTACTACTTAACAGTGCATCAAAGTGAAAAAAAAAAATCCTTGAGAAATTAAAGAACGTCAAATTGTGCGTCGAACGAGTACCTAAACTTAATAATTTGATTAAGTGATATGATCGATAACCACGGTCAAAGAACGCTAATTTTTACCGAAATTTTCAAAATCTAAGGAAGATTACAATAAATGGCCCTGCAGCTTTTAAATGAGTTCTGTAAGAACCAAAACTCAGAATAATTTCTTCCTATTCATAACCAGATTCTGATCAAATCGGAGACCAAATAATTAGTTTCTTGCCTCATAAAAACGTTCCCAACAGCAGCTTTTTTAAGAAAAGAACAATACTTTCTTATGAGAAATGTACAAATTATTATAGTGACCAGTATTATGAATCGCATGGATTCTTCAAGGAGACGATGGTTGCTTGAGATTGCAATTCATCCAGATCTATTGGAATTGAATAAAAACTGGGTCCGAGAGAAAAACCGTATTTTCTTGTGCTCGAATAAAAGGTTGTTCGAAAGAATAAATGAAGATCATATTTTTTAAATAAATTTTCCTCCATCATGCATTTCACCTGCGAGATATATTTGAGTTCGGAGTCAATAGAAACAAACTGTTACAGGAGCACAAGACTTCGCACCTCATGGCAGCCCAAAAACTACATCACTCTTCTCTTTGAATAGCTTCTTTTTGGAACTTTTTCGGAATTTTATGTCCATCATCCAGAGGGAGGGTCGTCCATTTTATTTTATATTGCATTAGAAAATTCATCTATGAGGATGAATTTTTCCAATATTTCTCTTTTCATTAAAGAAGGTGCTTAAAATATTAGTTTTTGAATGGAAGGTCCTTCGGAGAATATTTGACCCAGTTAAGGAAAATGATGAGTGGAGAATTAGATGCAACCATGAACTAGCTAACTTATACAATGAGCCGAATATGGAGAAATTTATCCGGATAGTAAGGCTGATATCGAAGGGCCAAGTTGTCCCTCGTTGGGTGGACGAGACCTCAATCCCAAAGAAGCTGCTGTGCATGGAGCCGGTTGGAAAAAGGAAAGTGGAGAGACCGAAACTGAAATGGAAAATGCATTAAGTGCTGATGCCAGTATCCATGGAATCAGGAACTGGTGGAGACTGCTCAGGGCAGGGAAACATGGAGGAAAACTCTCATGGAGAAAAGGCAGCCAAGATCCAGTAATAGATTTTCGAGCTCAGGATGACGATATTGATTACATTAGAAAATTCATCTTATAGGATGATTTCTCCTATATTTCCCTTTTCTTTAAATAGCTGTTTTTTTGGATACTTTTTTCGAAATTATTTTTCTACCATCCAGCGGGGAGCGCGCCCCCTGGTAGAAATTACTAGTTCTGGTGACGATAATAACTTTTTTTTTATATTACGTTTAAAATTCGTCTATGAGGATAAATTTCTCTTTTATTTCTCTTTTCATTAAATAGCTGGTTTTTTGGAACTTTTCTCAAACCATCCAAGGGAGAGAGAGGCGCGCCCCTGGCTGGATCCGCTAGTACTGGTCACGATAATAATTTTTTTTATCACAGAAAATGCGTCATAGAGGATGAATTTTTCCTATATTTCCCTTTTCATTAAATATGTGGTTTTTTTCCACCATCCTAGGGAGGGCCCGCCCCCTGGCAGAATTCGCTAGTGCTGGTCATGATAGAATTTTTTTTTTGTATTACATTAGAAAATTCGTGTATGAGAATGAATTTTCCCTACATTTCTCTTTTCATTAAATAGTTGTTTTTGTCACTTCGGAATTTCCCCCCATCCATCTGAGGGTGCGTCCCCTGACAGAATTCGCTTGTGCTGGGCACTATAATAATTTTTTTAATATTACATTAGTATATTCATCGTAAATGAGGATGAATTTTCTCTATATTTTGCTTTTCTTTAAATAGCTGCTTTTTGGAATTTTTTTCCAGCTCCCAGGGAGGGGGGGCGCCCCCTGCGCCCTCCTGCTGGATCCGCTAGTGTAGCAATAAAATATGAAATTGTATTAATAAATCATAAAGAAATAATTAGTTTTTATACTCTTCTGTAATTTACCCAATTTTTACATACGATCTAATGCAATAATAATAGCGATATACGTGTTTAGTATATACTGAAATTTTTGTTTTTTGTTTTAATCACGAATCATCTAATATGCAATCTGCAAATGTGGAACTCTTCCGTATTTAAGTATTCGATGATGAACGATATTCGTGGAATTAAACTCACAAATGTTGAGGGGTTACTGTTTTTCGGAAAACTGCTTCTTCCAAAGATTTTATTCTCATACAAAAAATTATAGACCTTGAGATAAAGATATTGTTTAGCCGATGAGAAAGCTATACTGACCTTATTTGGTAGACTTTTTTTTTTTTACTTTTTAGTTGTCTTGAGCTTAATTTGATTAATGACACTATTTAGTATTATGATGATAATATTAATTTCCAAATACATTACCTAAAATGCTGACTTTTATTGGGGTGGCGGATGGTGAAAGAAGGGACGGCAACGTTGAAAGCAAAGCTTGCCTCTCCTAATAAAAATCCTATAGCCCTGGAGCCAGGGCCCAAAAATCAACCTGAACGCAGGCGAAGGTTTGAATTTAAATTACGAAAGTGTACATTATTGTGAGTAAAATAAACATTGTCTGTCATTCTATTTTCAAAAATAGCGGTTGATTTAATATTCATTTAATTGGCTAGTAACTGGAGGATCGCAACCGGAAATCCATTACGAAAAATGTGAGAAAAGTTTTAATTTTTTAACTTGTATGTATGGGTTTATACATGTAAACAACAAAATTGCTAACTTGGGTTACCTTTTACATTCAAAAAAGGCAGATTTTTTTGTTTTTTACCAATAACTCCTAAACGACGTATCAAAACAAAAAATGAATTCGTTAATAAATTAATGAAGGAATAGTGCGTCGAAGGAATACTTAAACCTAATAAATTGATTAAGTTGTACGGTAGAAAAACACGGTTAACCAACGCTAATTTTAAACAAATTTGTCAAAAACCGAGTCAAATTACTATAGATGATCCTATAGCTTGGAAATGAGTTTCTTAAGAGGAAAAACCCTTAGAATAAAAGTTGTATAGCATAAAATGTTGCGCCCACGAGTGCCAACTTTTTTAATGTAGATCACTTATTCTGAACAAATTCGGAAATCTCCCGAAGGTATTTGATACCAGAAATTGGTAATGAAGGTATTTGTGATTTTTAATATTTCAACCATATGGGTGACTATTCTACTGAGCTATTTTGGTTTAGAGTCTGTTACATGCAGTATAAGCTTCTTTTCCACTCCCTAGCAGCAAAGGATTTTGATAAACGATGGTTTTATACATTACCACATTACTAAATTATTAAGTTTATGTACTCGTTCGACGCAAAATTTAACTTTCTGTAATCTTTTAAAAAAGTACATATTCGCTTCGATGCATCGTTTAGGAGTGATAGGCGAAAAAATATAGAAAAAATCTGACTTTTTTGGCTGTAAAAAGTTGTCCCTTTGTGACCCGCGGTAGCAATTTTGATTTTTACATGTCTAAACTCATATATACAAGTTAAAAAAAAAAAAATGTCTCACATTTTTCGTAATGGATTTCCCGCTTCGATCCTCAAGTTACTGGTCTAATATTCTTTAAATCAGCCACCATTTTTCAAAGCGGTGGCTCTGGAACGGCAGGCAAACTTCATTTTACTTAGAATAACGCACACTTTCGTAATTTACATTCAAACTTTCGCCTGGGATTAGGTCGATTTTTGGGTCCTGGCTCCAGAGCTACTAGGAAACCTTAATCTTACCTCGTTGAGGGATTCTTCTTTGGAATTATAAAAATTTATAACCTTTCAGAAGGCATTTATAAACTGTCAAATGAAGAGGCTTAGTTAATAATGTTTTTCGGAGGAAAATGCTGAGATAAAATGTTTTTGTTGAAACATTGTCTGTAACATTTTCCTAAAATCATGGCATTTAAAGCTGTGCCAGGTTTATATAGTTATAAACGATTTTTCATTTTTTTATTTTTAGTATTACTTGTTTCCATTTTAATTGTATTAGTGGGACTGTTAAACTTTTTACCAGGATCAATTTACTCATCGGAAAATAATTATGAATGTCTGAATCTTAAAAATTTAGATAATATCCCAGAAGTTACTTTGCCTACAGATTCTCCTATATCCAGTGGTCCGAATCCAAAGTGTAGTTACTATGACTGCTTTAATATCTATAAATGTGGTCATAAGGGTAGCTCCAAGATTTTGGTATATGTGTATCCTCTTATAAAATATTATGATTTAAAAGGTAATCCAGTGACTAGTCAAATGTCAAAAGAATTCTATCAGCTGTTGAAAACTATCACAGAGAGTAAATATTACACACCCAATCCTTTAGAAGCATGTTTATTTGTTGTGTCTATCGATACTTTAAATCAAAATAGATTCAGAGCTAAAGAAACATCTCAAGCTCTTGCTTCTTTGCCACAGTAATTAATATTTTTACCATCAGTTGATATATATATTTATAAATTTTTAGAGTATTGATGTTATAAAGTTTTTTTTTCATTTTAGTTGGAATAATGGTGAAAATCATATTATTTTTAATATGATACCTGGATCTGCGCCTGAGTATAATACTGTAGTTGACCTGGCACTTGGAAATGCTATAGTTGCTGGAGCAGGTTTTGACTCATGGTCTTACAGAGTCGGTTTTGATATTTCATTACCAGTTTTCAGTCCTATTGCTAGTACCTTAAAAGATGCTTCTTATACGAGGTATTTAGTAATTATTAAATTATATTTTTGACAATAACAAAAAAATAAGAATTAGACATGTTAGTTATGATGATTAAACTATCAATGAAAAATTTAAATGGATATTAGTTACAAGGGTTCCGCACGGATAATGTGTGGTTCACAATCACTTCGATCACACTTGTTCCTTGGAATCCCGAAAACAGCCGAATGTTGTCCTATTTTATGAAGTCAGCTATTGCTCCATCACAAAATCCCTTTTCATGCATTTTTGAAAAAAAAAAAAGTACTCCCTTCATGGAACTTCCTTATTAACAATTTATTAACGAATTGTGTATTTACTAATTAGTTAATTATTAATTTTATTATAACGGTTATCACTGTTAAAGAAAAAGGAAAAATACATAAAATAATGTTTGAGTCGTTTCCTTAAGGCCTGTTGAAAAAAAATCCTTTTAATAATAACATTTTTATTGACACGTGCTTATATGTAGTGGCTGTAAATACGCATATAGCGTTTGTTATCTTTTATAACTGTGTATAAAAGATTTTTTTATCATTTCAATAATAAATAGTTTGAAGTTATTTATTATCTTTTTATTTGTTATTCGAGTTTTTCAATAGAAGTTGAAATAATGGAATTTATAATTTAGTTTTCAAGCCTTTTTTAGAATTGCATAATTGTCTATCTAATTTATGTAATTTTTTAGATTTCTAATAATACGAGGGTCCACTATTTTCTAGTGGGGGACGGACGGACGCTTTCTATGCATATACTGTCTGATTTGAGATTGAGCATCAAGTTTATGTAAATTTTTTGAATTCTTAGATATACGGATCGACTATTTTCTATTCGTCGGAGCTTTTTATGAATATGCTGTCGGATTTAAAATTGTTCGTCGATTTTTGTAGGTTTTTTGTGATTTCTAAGATATAAGAGTCCACTATAAAGTTGTCAAGGATGCTTTTTATGAAAATATTGTCAGATTAAAGATTGCGCGAGAAAAGTTTGCAACATTAATAAATAAAATGTATCTATAAATCGTTATATAGATAAATATTCATTCCAAAAATGTCCAATCCCAACGGGACTTGTAGATTTCCCAGTTAGTTAACTGTTAACTTAAAGTTTATTTTTTTGTTTTAATCGCTATTATTTTTATTGAATGAATTAGATATGTAATTATTGTTATTCGCAGTTATTTTTATTGGTAATCCGAAAAAAAAAGTCGTGATTATTTTCGAGAAAGGAATTAATGTATTGGGGAAACATCTGACGAAGAATATCTGATAATTCCAAGATAATGAATAATAGAAATCATCAATAAGAAAAATAATATCATGAAATAGCATTCAGAGATGTAATAATTAAAGGTTTTTATTAATTACTATTTCTTTTTTACAAATCTATAATATATGTACAAGTTCAATTCAAGATCGAATATAAGTTCAAGTTCAAGTACAAGTTCGAATGTAAGTCGGCTCCTGCCACTAGCAGATCAAGGATTTAATTTTGGGGAGCTACAGTCCGAAAGCTTTTTTTTTTCATAAAAATAATGATAATTACTTTAAAAAAAGAAATAAACTAACTGATTACATGAAATGATGTTTAAGTGATGCCTAAAGCCCTTTTAAATTTGATTACATGAACAATAATACTTTAAGAGAAAATTTTATAATTTTTTTTTCTATAAAACATGGTTACATTTACCATTTTAGAGGGGGCTTCAGCCCGAAAGCTCCCCCTGTAGATCCGCCCGTGGCTCCTGCTATATAACTGAACATGGTTAAGGTTATAGAAGTACTTAAATGGCGGGAAAGTTAATAGTAACTGGCCCAAGAAATCGGTCGCCTTCTTTCTCTTTCGTATTAAACCCGAACGCATTCCATGAACAAGTGTGACCGTAGTGATCGTGAACCATGCGTAATCCGTGCGGAACTCTTGTGAACTAGTACTTTTAAATACTTGTAACGTTAAATGTGAGTAATACCAATTTTAAATCATGACATTGTTATTCTCACTCAAAATATTTACGGAAACTAATATCTGGAATTATTACAATTACTTTGTGCTTTGTAAATGTAAATTATGGTTATCTTGAATTTAAAATAAATAAATATGTTTAGATATCATGTTCATATGCTTTTTTTATTATTAGCTTACTTTTATATTGCTATATAGTTGATTGGATGTTTGGAATGCATATTTGAACTCCTAATACAGTTTTGAATGACTCTATGTAAAGGTTTATAATGAAGTTTTTGTAGCAGACGAATATGAGTATATTAATAATGTTCTCTCAAAAGTGAAATGTTTATTCATCCTTTTTCTTTTTATCATACATCATTCATTGCAAAGCTTATAAAAATTACTTGAGTGAGCATTGGTTTTAAAATATAAAATAATTCCAAGATAAATTACTTTTAAGTTATTGGCATGTTACAATTATTCTGATATTTGATATTTTGATTGTTATTATAATGACTCTACTTTGTTATTTTATTTTATCAAATTATTTATTTGACATGTTGATTTTTATTTTTATTTTAATTTTTTTTATCATAGGTTTAAACCTATTGTCATTATTATTCATTTAAAAATTGTTTCAGATGTTATTTAATGGAATGTGTAGAAGTAAATTTTAAGATGATCACTCATTTTTGAAATTTGGTGTCCCGTTGGTAAAGGATACCGTGTCCATATTTTATTAAATAATTTAGTAACTAAGAAACAAATTTTAATAGCTCAAAGTTATGGAAAATTGACTCCTCTAAACAAATAAAAAAATGTGAAATGGTGTCCTTTACCTCCGTATTACAGATTTAGTAACTAAAAACCAAATTTTAATAGCTCAAAGTCATGGAATATTGGCTTCTCTGAACAGACACAAAAATGGTCATGGTTTTTCTTTACCTCCAGGGTACAGAATTATTACTATCCAACTTGTTTTTAAGAGATGAATGCTCTGTAGCATAATTCATTTGTTTAGTAAAAATAATTTACAGGAAATGGCTTGTTATTAGTTCACAACTGAATATCCATCCTGAATATTATTCAGAACTATTGCAATTATCATCTAATACTAATGAATTATTAGTCCTGGAGCCTTGTCATGATATGAGAAATGCTAGTATGAGATGCCATGGAACCAGAACGTACCATTACCCCCATATTCTACAGGTATTTTATTTCAGCTGTTTTTTAAAATTTTAAAGATTTTAATAAAGATGGATTAACTTTATTTCCAATTTTGTTTTTATTTCAGACTTTTCTTATTAATAATTTATAAAGTTATTTGTAATTTGTAAAGTTAATAAATTTTTGAAATTTAGTTTATATTAGGTGGTTTCTTCATAAACATGCCAAATGTAAAGTGACAATTATAAATAAAAGTGACCTTATTTATAAAAAAGATACATATTTTTTTAAAAATATTGTTAGGTATCGAAGTATGAATTTGCCGAGTTGGCAATTTTGAAAAATTGAAGAAGGCAATACTCACTGAAGAATTGGGAATTTAAAAACAAGTTTAATAACTATTATGATATTCATAAAAAAGTTATCTTAAATTTTAATTGAAAAAATCAATGTAATTTAATTAGTCAAAAGTAATAAATTTATAGGATTAGGATAATTGTATTTTTTTTTAATTTCACCTACCTGTTGGTGAAATATATCCTGAAGTAAGATATGGTGGTCGTGAACAATTTCAAATTTGAATTTTCAACAGAAATGCATGTTTTAAGGTCTCCTGAGTCCAAATAAGGAAGTCCTATAAAACGGTTTGCGTAAGAATACGAACAGACTAGCTCCAAAACGAGAAGTGACAGGTATATGTCTGGGATGTCATAGCAACTTTTCTGTCAGTATTGACTAACTTAAAGTGACATGCTATGTCATAGATTGAACACATTTTTTTAATTTTGTATAATATACTACTTGTCTAAAACCATTTGGTCTCTGGTGCTTGGCTTCATGAAATATTTTCTAGACTCATGAAATTTATATCTAGACATGAAGTTTATTAGAAACATCGTTTCATCTGCTTATTCTTTAATACTTATTACACAAGATGTCGTCGTATATTGCTGACACATATTCTCGATGTTTAAATTCTCTACTTGGGAATTACATGTTAGGGTTAAATTTCTACTTTAAATTACTAGATTAGTTTGTGTCACAATAATCTCATGTTCCTAGGAAGTAGTGGTCACACTTTTGTTAGAGAGGTAGGAGGAATTAGGAGGAAGGAGAGCCACATTGTCTCTTTAAAATGAAGGAATAATGATATATTTATTTTATTGACTAATGTCTACAACAGGACAGTTTTACAGAGCGAAATTAAACCAAAAAATTGTTGTGGATAATATTGATATTAATGATATTATGAATCAAACATTCATAATAACAAAAAGTTATCTGTTTTTGAAAATGCGTGGCCAAACCCAAATGGTTAAGGTAATAAACAATTGAGAAATGATATGAAGGCATTCCAATAATTTGTTCTACATAATTTTACATTCATAAAACCTAATGAGCCTTCAAATAAAATAAAACTTAGAATTTTGATTTATAAAAATTAAATTAAAGAAGAAGCTATCTTAGAAAAGAGAAGACCCAGGAAGACTAGGAATGAAGGGTTGAAGGAGGCCTTTGACAGGAGAGATCTGGAGTGGAGGAAGAGAATGCAGCTGGTACAGGATTGGAATTTGTGCACCAGGCTCTATTGAAAGGCACCTCACACTGTGCTTCTGTAGAAGAGGAAAGAACAAGAAGAAAAATTAAATATCTGAATAATGTTGATTTAAAAAAATCAAATATATTTCATCTAAATCTATTTAAATGTGATTGGTAAATCGATGTTGATAAAACTTTTTTTGTTTTAGAGAGGAGTTTTTTGTTTGGTTCTAAGAGGTGCCAGACTTGGACAGCCGACTTTACTTGATGCCCTAGCTGCAGGTTGTATTCCTATCATAAGTGCTGATACAATTGTGCTTCCATTTGCTGATGTCATTGATTGGAAAAGGTTTGATTATAATGAAAACAAAATAAATTACTTGTATCACAAGTAAAAAAAGTAAATTATCATTGTAAATAAGTATTGTATTTCAAGTGAATTGATATCCAACTAGGTACTTGGCAAAATAAACTTTCTTTCTGCTGTTTGAGATACTTTAGACTTTTCAATTACTGGTATTCGATATAATTTATGGTATTAGAGAGCGAGGCATTTAGGACCTCAATGTGCCTGATAGTAATTTGTTTTTAGGTAATCTTGTTCTTCTGCAGCTTATAGCTTTACGTTTACTGCTAGTTTAGAGAGTTATAGTTTTGTGGGCACTTTTGTCTCAAACAGCAATGAATATAAAACTTTAATTCTTTTATGTCACAGAAAAACAAAATAAGGCCTATGGCAACCATGGCATTTAAGAGGGTTTTAGTTAAAATTGATGTTTATCTTGAAAATAGTTCATTTTAGAGCATTAAAAAACATGACTGGATAGTTTCTTGTGGAACTTTATGGGGTCTTCGTATCAGTGTTGAAATCTTTAGAACATAATTTGTCATCTTGTTCTATTTACACCTACTATACTGTTAGAGTTTTGAAACCTACTTTTTCAATGATGTTATTAAAGTTGTACGAATTTGTGGATCGTAGACATAAATACAATTACAACTATTAGTTGTACATAATGTAGTTGCAGAATGGTAGATGCCTGCTGCTTACTAATTGCACTTATAGTTGGCACTGTTGTAAACTACTAATGTAGTCAAGTACTCCCAACTCTGATTAAAAGTTAAATGAAATTTAATTTTTAAAAGTTAAGAAACAAAATCATTACGCAACACTGATTATGGAAGTTTTTATTAAAATTATTCCACCATAATTCTAAAGCAATGATGTTTTAACAATACGTGAACTTCTTCTGCATGTAGATAAAGTATTCGAATGTTTAGCTTATATTAACTATTTCTTTATTCTTATATATTTTGCTTTATTAGGGTCTCATTGCTACTGAGTGAAGGAGATTTAAGCAGTATTCTTAAAGTTGCTAGTGCCATACCTACAATTAAACAAAAGGAAATGAGTGCACAAGGAAAATGGCTTTATTCTACTTATTTTTCTTCAATGGAATCTATAACATTGACTGCATTGAACATTTTGAATGACAGGGTGTATCCCCAGTATGCAAGAGTTTACGAAGATTGGAATAATCCACCTCATTCTGTAAGTTCTCTATATTTTAATTAGAAATTAAAAAGAATATAATTCAAGTATTTTTTTTTTTATAACTAGTACTTATGTGTAAATAAGGTCTTTACATTTTCCTCTCTTTTTTTTCTCTAAACATTATTTGTGAAAACTAAAACAAATATGTTTATTGAATATTACTCATTTCTTTTAGAATAGTTTAGAAAATTATTTTTAGAAGAAATCAGTTTGTCTCCAGTATAATTGAATTTATTCATTGTCTATTTACAGTCTCCAGTGAAATCACCTTTGTTTTTGGAACTTACTGCACCTCGATGGCAGGGCTTCACAGCTGTAATACTGACTTATGACAGGGTTGATAGTCTCTTTCTATTAATACAGAAGCTTGTTAAAGTTCCAAGCCTTACCAAGGTCCTTGTTATATGGAATAATCAAAGGAAATCACCCCCTCATGGTATATTATTATTGAAACTGAAATTAATCAATTATATTACGTTGATGAACATTTGATTGTATTACAGCATCATTGTGGCCAAAAATATCGAAACCTTGGAAATTAATTCAAACCAAAGCTAATAAACTATCAAATCGTTTTTACCCATATGAGGAAATAGAAACTGAAGCTATCCTGACAATTGATGATGACATCGTTATGCTCACTGCTGATGAACTAGAATTTGGATATGAAGTAAGTTTCATATCTTTATTTATTATTTTCTTCTTTTGTAGACAAGTACAACATTCGCTTACATTAAAGGAAGTTTCTATTGCCCACCTCTTAATTATTTTCATATCTTATTTTCTCCACCTTCTCTTATTATTCCTTTATCAATTCTGAACAATTCTTTTACTATCCTTCAAAATTGAAGCATTTTTATTTCAATAATTCTTTGAAGTTATGTACCAGAAACATGAGAAAATATTGGTATCAACACGGAAAATATTTGTTCTTAATTATAATTGTGTAGAGATCGTTGACTGTGATATAATATGAGAAGTAAGTTGGTCTGGGGAGAGGGAGAGAAGGTGCAGTCAAATCAATACTAAATTGTTAAAATAGTATTTTATTCGTTACGCCGATGTTTCGACCCACTTTGTAGGTTTTCATCAGGGCGTGGTATCAGCTACTGCAGGAAGGAGTTGGTAAACAGTCTACCAATGAGTAAAGACCCTACAAAATGAGTCGAAACATCAGCATAACGAATAAAATACTATTTTAACAATTTAGTATTTATTTGACTGCACCTTTCCGACCAACTCCTTTTCTTAATTATAATTGTATTTAAGTTTTAATTATTATGAATAATGTACTTTGGCCCTCTTGCAACGAATTAAAAAGTACAAGATAGACTTTAGCGTGTTCAGATGGAATATTTACTGAAGTATTGATTCTAGTGAATAATATCATAGATAATAATATTTGTTTGTAATATTGTTTCAGGTGTGGAGGGAATTTCCTGATCGGATTGTCGGTTTTCCTTCAAGGGTTCATGTTTGGGACAATGCTACAAATAGGTGGAAGTATGAATCAGAATGGACAAATCAGATATCTATGGTTCTTACTGGAGCAGCATTCCATCATAAGGTAATAAGTATCCTTGGAAAAATAACTATTTTGTAAAAAATGTCCCCAATGATAATTTAGACACATCCTTTCCATTATTATATTAAGGAATATCTGTGAAAAATTCTGAGCTTTAAAAGCTTATATTTCTGGAGATCCAGTCACCTTAAAACCAGTACTTATCATGTTGACATAATATAGTCACATAGCTTCATTGTATTTCTTTAATTTTTCGTGTGGATTTTTTGAGAGTAGGGCGTAACACTGCTAAGATCTGAAATTAAAGGTTGATGCTATTTTCCTCTAATTTGATTAAAGTTTAAGGTTACTATGAATGTTTATATTCATGAGATTCAATTCTTGCTTTATAAGAAAGTTTGTTAATAATAGACAAATTGTTGGATCTACCATCCCACAATTTTATTTACTTTATTATAATGTAATAACAGAACCTTTCATCAGTAAACCATCATCAGCACTCCTAATAAATATATATTTCTTGCCTTGACTATACTCTTAAATTAAATTTAATATAGGTTCACCTTACATACGTGTTCTTCCGAATCACCCTGCTAGTTAATAGTTTGTTGCAATATAAATTGAAATAATAATGAAAAACTATTCAAACTTGGTTTTAAATGAAAAATAAAGATGGCCACCACTTCTTGTCCAGTCTGTCTCTATCAAACCACTGTAACCATATAAGTTATCAAGGCTCACTGGCGGATCCAGGATTTAATTTTGGAGGGGGCTTCAGCCCGAAAGATTTTTTTTCATATACATATAACAATAATTAATTAGAAAAAAAATAAAAGAAATTAACTACCTATATGAAATGGTGTTTAAGTGGTTCTTGAAGTCCTATTAAATGTAATTACACGAACAAGAATACTTTAAGAGATAGTTTTTAATATTTTTTTCTGTAAAAAAAATAGTTATATTTTACCATTTTTGGGAGGGGAGGGGGCTTCAGCCCGAGAGCCCTCCCTCCTCCCCCCCGTAGATCCGCCTATGTCAAGGCTTAAGCTCTGTCCTGACAATAATGAAAAATGTAACGATAATTACTTGGAAAGAAAAAGAAAGAAACTAACTTCCTGTATGAAATGGTATCTAAATGATTCTTGAAGTTCTATTAAATCAAATTACACTAACAATAATACTTTTAGAGATATTTTTTTCATAAAACATGGTAATATTTCACCATTTTTTCGGGTGTGGGTTTCAGCCCGAAAGCCCCTCTACCGTCCCCATGTAGATACACCTGTGGCAGTGGAAATAAACTGAACTCTCACGTGAAAGTTTTGCTAATAATTAAAGTTAACTTAAAATGTTTTCAGTTATTGTTTCATTTAATTGTTTGATTTTTAATTTAGAATTTTTAGTATTTCTAATTTATAAAATAAAATTTTATTTGTTTTTTGTTCAGTACTGGAGTTACATGTACACAACATCAATGCCAGGTAACATCAAAGAGTGGGTGGATGACCACATGAATTGCGAAGATATTGCCATGAATTTTCTTGTGGCCAATGTAACTAATAAGGCACCAATTAAGGTATAGCCCAATTGATATATTAATGCTAAAACGTTTCTTTATCTGTAGATTTAATCCTTTTAATTTTTGTATGACATTTAAATTAAAGGTGGAAAAAAAGGTTATTATGTCTACTAGTTACCTATTTATAGTCAGAATTAAAATTTAATGGTATTTTAGTGAAGAAGATAAGTTTTGGTTTATTCAAATCTATATATCTATGTGTTAAATAGCTATTTTTCAAACTTATTTAGTTCAATAGAATGAATTATAGTTGTTATGAAATAAGTCTTTTGTTCTCAAATAGCAGTTGATAACTAAGTATTGAACACTTTGATTTTACAAAATAAAATATTTTTTAATTTAAATTTAAAATATTTTTTATTGGCATTAATAGAGAAAGATTGAAATTTTCATGAGTTCTCTTGTCTTTCGATAAACAAAACTTTTGTTTTGTAAGAAATAAATATTTTTTCTACATTTATCATTTTGATAACCATGAAGTGTTGTTATTTTGTACCATAACTTTAACTTTATTGTTAAAATGTACTTTTAGTTTTTTTAAACCCATTTAAAGAGCATTTTTATTTTTATTTTACAAATAATATATGAATATGGTTTATAGGTCACACCTCGCAAAAAGTTCAAGTGTCCTGAATGTACGAACACTGAGATGCTTAGTGCAGATCTGAATCACATGGTAGAACGATCACATTGTATTGATAGGTTTGCAGCTGTGTATGGACGACTTCCTTTAAGAACTGTCGAGTTCAGGGCTGATCCTGTTCTTTACAAGGATACATTTCCTCACAAATTGAAAAGATTTAATAACATAGGGAGTCTCTAATTGATGTAATTGGATCATACAATAATGTTAGCTCTCATAAATACTACTGTATAAAAGCTAAAATTTTTCTTGATTTAAGTTAAGTATTTATAATTATTAGATAATTTATGTCCTGTTCTGAAACCCAAATAGATAAAAAAGAAGAGAGCAAGTGAAGTTTTTATTTATGTATAAATTATTAATCAGAAAATGATACATCTATGTATTTATATATTTTTTGTTATTGAGAAATTTTTTTGAATCCTCAAATTAATTAATGCTAGTCAATTTAGATTTGTTTGTTGGGTATTTTTCATATAAGTAATTTATAAATTTAAGGTGTTAATTTTAAAAACAAATAATGTTCTTGTTTGTTGTTTATTGGTGATTAACATCTTAATGTATTCTAATTAGGACAGTAACGACAGAAATTTGATTCTTTTTGATTGGTTAATCACAAGAGTTACTGATGCAATCTCTTTTATTATATTCTCCACCATGAGAATATAATTAGATATATAATACGATTTGTACATTTGTTTTGTTTTAGTTTGTCTTAGAATTGCATAATTGAAACAAAGTATATTTTATGTAAATATCATTAAAATTATGTTTATTTATTTAGCTCGATCAAAGACTGCCAGAAAGATTAAAATACATTTTAGTAATAGACACTGTTAATATGACTTTTTTTATTTTCTAATTTTTGTCATATATATTGTTTACAACTCCTGTATAAATAATAAATCCATAAAGATTATGTGTTCATTTTCTTCAACTATTACTGTTAAATACACACCGTATTTTCTGATAGGTTTACATCCTTATTAGGTCATTGATTGGTCTTAAGCAGAGATTTTTTAACTTTGTTTTTTTGCAGGCCTTATTCCAACCCTGGTCATTATGTGTTAATAAGGTCTTGACCATGAAGGATTTTTACTAAATGACGTTTGAATAAAAAAAAAACTTGGGGATGTTATGTTAATCTCAAAATTGGTTTGTGGACCCCAGGTAATGACTTTGACCTGCCAAATGTCAGTGGACTGCAATTGAATAACCTCTGATCTAAATTTTTGGTTAATAACATGTTTTGAAATGCTTACTCGAACAATTATTTTATTTATTTTAATAGAAACGCAATAATGTTTTATTATTTCTGAGGTTGATTGATTCCTAAAGCTCAATGAGTTTAAAAATTGTTAAAGTTAAAATTTTTGTTTAGAGCAACTGATTTATGGGTGTCACCATTATTGCTGTTGGGTAACATTAGTGGTTCATATAATAAATTACGATCATTATAGACAGTAGGCAATTTTATTTGAGATGTCTTAACATTTATAAATACAATTTTATTCACCATATCAACTCTAAAAAAGATCACTTTTGTTTAGTATTTATGTTAGTTTGTATTTTTAAATTGAAGTATAGTGCTTTGTAAATACATATTTGTTATTGTTATATTTTTATTGAACCTAAAATTAAATATATTTTTGAATACTTAAATGTTTAAAGTATTGTAATCTATGAAATATTACAAATTATTTGAAAATGTAATTTCAGATTTCATTTCTTTTTAACATCATGTGAATAAAAATTTAATTTAATTTTTTTTTTCATTATCCTGAAATGTTTGCTAATATAAGATAAGTTAGCCCATTATTTTAAATATTTGCCATTATGAATGCACATTTTAAATTTAGTTTACTATGATAATGGAATATTTTATATCCAGAAAAGCATTTCATAGTTTTAAATATTCTTGAAATAAAGAGTTCCTAAGGTTATTAATTTTTTCCTTGCAATGTATTATATTAAGTTGGATGATAATTAATATAATCATCCTAAGGGGTAAGGAGGAGGGATGAAATGAAGTTGGTAGCAATCTCCTGTGGAAAGGGTGGATCTTTGTTTCCCTTATTAGGCCAAGTTTACCTAATTTGGCAACATCCACTTCTAAATATGGAATAAGAGAGGGGAGAATGTCTTAGTATATAAGGTATTCATCCGCGATTTCAATATATATTATTTCTTTGGTGTTATTTAGAATGTTATAACCATACGTAAAATGTTTAATACGTCTGAAACTTTAATTGAAGAACTTAACATAAAAAAAAATCAAGATGAAAGTTGAACAAGGTACTACTTTTCCCCCTCCCCTACGCTAGCGCTGTGCGGGCTGTTGTGGCTCACAGGTCAAATTACGGAGAGCAGTACACGTTCGGGATCATGGTGGATCTCATGGTGTGTTGTGTTCTGTAAGTTAGTGTGATACGTAAACTGTGATGATTTGACTAGTGATAGGTGTGTCGAGTGATGGATACCCCTTCAGGAGGGGGAAGAGATTCCCGTTTTAGCATGGGCTATAATATTTCCTTATTGAGCGGTGAAACAGCCCAAGAAATATACAATAATGCCGTTCATAGTAGGCCTTCTACGTCTATAACTTCTGGCCTTTCCAGGGGTTCGATGTCCTTATCGAGTTCATGTGGTGCCGGCATGCAAAGAGGAATGAAACGAACATCTTCTGAAGTGTGTTATGAACAAGATGGTAGGCAAAATATGGGTTTGTCTGGTGATTGTGGTTCTGACATTGTCGATGACGGTTTCTCGCCCACACCCCAAAAAGGCTCGCCGCCATCCAATGGGAAGAAAACTAAAGGTCGTGTTAAGATTAAAATGGAGTATATCGACAACAAATTAAGAAGATATACAACTTTCTCAAAAAGAAAGACTGGCATCATGAAAAAGGTAACATAACCCTAATCATTTGTAACCTACCCTTATCTTTGATATTAGTTATTGCAGTGTTTACAAACTAACTTATTATCTTTTAAACTTAATTAACCATTTTGATTTGCAATTATAGCAAACATAGCTATTTTTAACTCATTATAATATTGCTTTCGTTATAATATTGTAGGTTTTTTTATGTGAACTAAGAATATTTCGAAGTTATTAGTTCTTTAGCCGGTTATTGAACTAAGAATTTTAGGGATTAGAGTGTTAGTCTAATTTAACTCTGTAGAAATCTTCATAAACTATTGAAGTTTGATATTTTGTTTTCAATTGTTTGATGGTCAATATATCTCGATTGCCAGTTTTATAAATATTATAAAATTTCTATTGATTTAAATGATTTTTAATCCTTTTTTAATATCGATGTTATTTATAATTTATTGAAGGTTACTTCAGTCCTAATGAACTCCAATCATTAAACATGTTAAAAATATGACTATACATTATTTTAGCAACAACTTTTAAGTAGTGATTCTTAGATATACCATTTATAATAGAAAATCTCTATTAAACATAAATATTTTTTCGAAATATCAATTAATAATTGTGCTATTAAAGCGAATGATGCTACTTTTGTTTGCGAATGATTAGTTTTGCATGTCTTATTTTTTTTTTTTTCTGCCTTGATAATAATTCATTTCCCTTTTTGTTTCTGTTGCACGACTACATTTAAATTTATATTATTTATATTAAGTGGAGATTTAGATCTTCGAAGGAATTATCTATTTCCCCTTTTTCTATTTATGTCGTGGCAGTGCAAGTGGGATGATTGTTTCTTTATCGAGCTGCTTATCTTAGTCAGCTGATAAGAAAGTCGTGACTTAGACCATCTGTTCCAGTAGCCATGCAGTCTTATCCCCTCTCCATATTTACATCCTCTCATTTTGTTCCATATTACAACAACTCTCATTATATTTGTGTTAATTACTCGTTTTTTCTATTTGCTTTGGGATGAATAAAATTTGGTGGTTCTCCGTTGTTGTTTGAAAATATTCATGTGTTATTGTTCACATCAGTCTTCATTTTCTACTGATAAATGAAGGCTTTTTTTTTTTTTTTTTTGTCCTTCCCTTCCTCGCCGTTAAGGCTATACGGGATTTTCCCGTGCCAGGGGGTGTGGGCGGGGATTTAAAAGACTCCCCCGGCACCGGGACGCGAACTCGTGACTATTTTTATATCTTTAATTCATATGTCAGGTTGCCAGGCAACGGCGGTGCAGTGCACACGCTTTAGCTCATTCGGCTACCCCGCCCACAGATAAATGAAGGCTGCCAGTGATCAATAAAAATGTATTCTCATCACTCTCGGATCTACGGGGAAAAGAGGGTAGCTTTAAAAGTTAAACCTCCCTTCCCCCCCAAAAATGGAAAAATATAATTATCTTATGAAATTAATATAAAAAAAATGATCTCCAAAAGTATTATTGTTTCTTTAATCAGATTTCAAAAATCTCTTAAATCTCTTTCATTTTCTTCCAAAGTAATTACCATTCTATATATAAAAAAAGCTTTCGGGCCGAAGCTACCATCCCCAAAATTATATCCTGGATCTGTTACTAATTCACCTAAAAATACGTCTATTAAATTTTATTATTATATATTATATTTAAAGAAATAAAGTATCATAAATTAATGTATTAAGAGTAATTTAATATATTAAAAAAAAATAGTATTTTGTAATACCCAAGGTATATAAACGTTATTGAAATAGATAGGGAGTTCTAAAACTAAAATTGTTGCTCAGAATAAGTCAACTACCGGCCTCTTATATTGAAGTCCAGAGCAAACACAGATAGGAATCTATGTTTGCTCTGCTTCATGAGAAATCCGTAATAATTGTATAGAGATTTTAAATCTTTCATGAGAATTTATGTGTAAATATTTTCTAACGAAGGATGTAATAACTCTCATTTAACTATAAATAGAAATTGTTTTTTATTTTTATTATTCAAATAATTTCTAGCATTAGGTTCGATTGTTTTATCTGAAAAAATCCTCAATTTCATTTTGTATCATAGTATTTATCGAAAATGAGGGATTTTAAGCAGGATTTCGGAGTTTTAAAATAAAAGACTTTTTAAATAGAAATTTGACTTTTATTTTTAATCAGTTTCCTTTTTCAGTCTATATTTTCCTTCGAAATTTCGAATTAAACGTTCTCTAGAACTTTTAAATTGTAAATTGTAAAACCTTTTTCTAAAAATTTCTATCAATAGTGTTAAAATTGAACTAAAATAAAAGTTTCTGTGAGCGTTAACAACATTTTTAAGTGAGTGTTTGATCTTAAGTCTCAAACCTTTAAAATTTATAGACACACTCCTTATTACGATTTTATGTAATCAAAATGTTGTTTTGGGTTTAGCGGCAAAAAACAAATCAAAATGTTACCATTTATTCATTAAACAATAAATCCGTGATAAAAAAAAAAGAAGAAAGATATGGAACAGTCTAAGCTATAATTTCCAAAGTAATAATAATCTGTTTTATGAAGGTATATTGAGGAATTCTGTTTTTACCAAAATGACTGATAGCAATTGATTTATTTATTGGAATCAGAGTATTTATGACAAATAGTCAAAAAGAAACAACTGAACTTAAAATATTACTATTGCAATTACTACCACGAAGGCGTATAATATAAATTAATGATTTTTTATGAGTCTTTTTTTTTTTTTTGAAAATAGCTTTGAAGCCGAAACATCTTATAATTGAAATAAAAATTATCTTGTTAAAAAGGTTTTATACTGATGAAATAAAATTGTCAGAGGAATGTGTTCTTTTTTAAAATCTTAAACGGTTTTTGATTGAATGTAATAATAATAAAATAACAAAATTAAAAACATTTTTCAAAATTCGGCGTCTTTGAGAATCATCCAAAACATTTAAAATAATAAAATATTCACTTATTTATAGCTTCATTGATTTATACACTACATTTTGTCTTTCTTCAGAATAGTACACAATAGTCAAAGTTTAGGAAAATTTTAGTATTTGTTCTGAAAGATAGTTTTTGGATGCGCGATTGAAGTTGGAAGATTTTTTTATCCTGGCGTAATGGTTAGCAAAATTAGCACTTTTTTTTCAATTTGTATTATTAATTGTTGTTTTAGTTTTTAAATGAGTTCCGTAAATATTAATTTAAAGTTAGATTACTTACAAAAATTTGTTATGTAAATACTTATTTTGTATTTTCTTGTTCGTAATTTTATATATATATATATATATATATAATTTAATTATTTTGGGGATAATCTTCACAAAACATAAAAATGCAGCTACCGTTAATGTAGCGTGCATTCCCCATTGGTGTGCCGGTTCTTGCACAGGCGGATCTACGGGATGGAAGGAGGGGGAGCTTTCGGGCTTAAGCCTCCCCAAAATGGAAAAATGTAACCATGTTTTATGGAAAAAAAATTATCTCTTAAAGTGTTTTTGTAATTATTTTTAATAGGACTTTAAGAACCACTTTAAAACCATTTCATATTGGTAGTTAGTATCTTTGTAGTTATATATATGAAAAAAAAAAAAGCTTGCGGGCTGAAGCCCCCTCCCAAAATTAAATTCTGGATCCACTAGTGGGTTCATGTATCTATGTTAATTTCAAGTCAGTAGATCAGTGATAAATATTGTTATGTGTGCTTTCTTTTATGCCTATTGGAGTTGGCACTGTTCTAATTAACTGAAATGCAATGATATAGCCTAAGAATAATTACTGTTGGCTAGGTCGAGCGAATGCTTGGCTTGCTTAACCCAGCTTGTTTTAAATGTTTCTTCTAATTCAATTTTCACTGTGCCTATTATATAAAACCTAAATCTATCATACCGAAACTAAATTTGTTTCATTACATAAATAAGGAATTATGTATAAATATAAAGGAGAAACAAATATATTTTTGAAATAGGAGCTATGAATATATATATAGATTTGGAAGCAATATATATGTCTTTATTGTAATTTCACTTTTTTATCAATTTTTCACGTGTTTTTTAATAAGATTTTTAATATTATGTACAGAAATGATTTTCATTAGTTATTCATCAAATGATTTTATTATGCTTAAAGAATGGAATTTAATGAAGATTTATTTATTTTACTGGCTAAAAATCCTTTTATCCATGATTGCAATTCTTTGTTTTATAATAGCGTTTCGTTCTTAAATATTCTTTTTCAAATCTTACTATTTTATATTATACTGCTTGTCTAAAAAAATAATGAATTATCAAAACTAATTTTTCCTTTTAAACGTCAATTTTATTTTATTTTTTAATACCACCAATTTAATTTAATTTATGGCAGGATTTAAATATTAAAAAAAAAATAAATAGAAATGAATGTAATTGAAAATCATCATTTCATTTTATTAGATAAGAAACAGATAACAATCATTCTGGTAATAAAGCCAAAACTTGTACAAAAATCTTGATTTTTGTTTATATACTATCTTGTATTTCTGTAATGCGGTAGTGTAGATCCTTATCAGGCACTCTCGAGCACGGGCGGATCTACGGGGGGGAGGGGCTTTCGGGCTGAAGCCTCCCCCAAAATGGTAAAATATAGCCATGTTTTATCGTAAAAAATATTAAAAAAGTATCTCTTAAAGTATTAATGTTTGTGCAATTACATTTAAAAGGGCTTTAGGAATCACTTAGATACCATTTCATACAGGTAGTTAGTTTCTTTCTTTTTTTCCAAAGTAATTATCGTTATTTTTATGAAAAAAACAGCTTTCGGGCTGAAGCCCCCCCCCAAAAATTAAATCCTGGATCCCCTAGTGCTCTCGAGCGATGGGTTTTGATAAACGAGTTGTCAAAAAAGAAGGGATTTCATGAAGAAGTAACTAATTTCAATTTCGATCCTTAAATCGGTATTAGAACTTTTATAAAAGTAATTGAGAAAATATGAGGGATACAAAGCGTTGATAAGTTAACAGATCGAGTGGAAACCAATTGTGTTTTGAAGGT